AATTTGTAATCTACAATTTTTAGAACATGTAGAGTGTGCAGAATTCATAATTTAAAATATTTAGAATACAGAAGATGTATTCTAAATATTGCAGAATGATTTTTTCAATATCAAAATCAACATACTTTCATCCAAAACTCTTTTGTTTAACATTAAATCTTATTAATCTTTAATTGTTGATATGTTTTAATTTAAAAATTAATTAAAAATTAATTTTATTTATTTAAAAGGGTAATTTAGGTATAACTGACAATTTACCGCAGAAAGCCTAAATGGACAAATTTTTAAAAAAACATCCTTTAAAATCAAAACCCCCATTTAATTAAGGATATAATTGAGCATTTTCCTATTCTAAAACCTAATATACCAAACTTAAAAAAAGAAGGCATAAATGGACAAATTTAAAAAAAAACATCCTTTAAAATCAATTTTCCCTTATAATTACACATTTTGCTAGCTAATGGACAACCACGCCTAAATATTATAACAATATATCTTGATTTCATTATTAACAGTCGCATCTCATTGTATAGAATGTTTCGACTAGTTAACTAAGTTGACATTCAATACAGTTAAAAAAGTAACATAGAGTCCACCTTGAGTCAGACTCATCATCGTTTTTTTTTTTTTTTGAATGAAAGTTAAAATCATATGAACAATCTTCTTTTAGCTACAAAATATTTCTTCTTCAGTTTTTATATAATTATTTGATGGATCATGTTAATATTTCTTTGCACCATAAAGAAATATCATCTATTTTTCAATGCACATGTGTTCATTTCGTAGATGCATCCCTGCATGTTTTGAAACAAAATATAAACATGGGAGCAGGAGAAATCAACGGCAGCTGATCTTTATAATAAATAGACCCAAAGTTTACAAAATAGGTAACCGCATAATCTATCTTTTCAAAACTAAAGATAGGCATTACATTAACTCATCATACATACATTCTTATGTATATATATAGTTTCGTTTTCATTAGTACATAATTAATTTGCAATCTCAGTTATTTAAAAGTCAAAGCCATAATGCTCCAGCGCGCTTAAGCATAGGAACAAGAGAGCGATTGAGATGGAGACTCATGACTTGGTTAGCTCCACCAACGAGCTGCCCTCCTATGAACACTACTGGCACGGTCGGGCTGCACCCTAGCTGAGCCAATGCTTGCTCTATCTCCTTTCCTCTGTTAATCTCGTCGAGCTCATAGATCGTAGGGTTCACACCAAAGTCTAAGAAAAGAGTCTTGATTGTGTGAGACATGCAGCAAGAGTTCTTGCTAAAGATCACAACTGACTTCTCAGAGATCATCTTTTGTAGATTCGCCATTAGTATTAAACTATGGTAAGATATTTGAAAAGCTTCTTACAAAGGAGACAAATGAGTAAGTGTTTGGTCAGGATGCTAGAGTAGAGTTGAAAATGGGAAACTATAGAACTGATCGAGAGATTATGATATCTTTAGCTGAAGATGAGAAGCGACTTTGTGTTTCTGTGTTTGATGAAGTGAAGAGATAATAAGGGCCCTATATATAGCTTTCTAAAAGTACGTAACCTTTCATATTACGTAGCCTTTTTTCTAAGAGTATCAACTTTACTATAAAATTAATAATATCTCAAATGAATAATGAAATAAAGAACATATTTTAAAGGTTAAGATAAGTGGGAGTATGCGAAAGAATATTAGGATTTGATCGGTTCACACGTACTTGACTCTTGCAGCTAAAAGAATAAAACTAATTTGGTATAAAACGTACAGAAAACAAAATCTCTCTTAGATGTGAGGAATATTTGATACGGGCGAATCATGTCATGCCTCTATTGTACACGTCCATATACTTTCGTTGTCAAAAGAATTGATAAAGAGTTTTGTCGATCACTAAATTGTTGATATATTTTAGAAATGTTGAAAGTTTTTCTTAAGGATCAAATCAATTTGCAAAGTATTTGTTGATTAGCATTTACTCTGTATTTAATTTTCGGATTATACATTTTTGGTTTTTAAGATGACAATATAAAGATGTAGTAAAGATATGCTTATCCAACAAATTAGTTATCATTTTATGCTTATTTCAACTTAAAAGTTTTCTGATCGAAGTCATAGTTAATTGAATTTATTTTGACGGATATTTTTTTAATTATTGTGATATGTAATGTTACATTGCTTGACCATTTCAAATGGGTTGTCATATAATTAATGGAAGAGATACAATGAGATAGTTGAATTACTAGATGTATAGGTAAAATGTATGGTCACACATGCCAAATATATTATTGTATATTCAGCTACACGAAATAGATGTATTGCATGTCCACATGCATCAAGTCATCAATTGTACGACGTCATGTAATCAACACTATAGATATATAATTCTGGTACACCGGTCAACAGATTCCGGCGAAGACCAGTGTTGATTCCGGCGTTGACTAATTGTTGACCAATTAAAAAATTTCAAACTTTTTTTTTATATTTATTTTTATTATGTTATTAAAAACTAAGAAACAATAACTTTTTGTATTAAATTGTTTATAGTTTCATATAGTTAAAAATATATTCTATATTTAAAATCTAAACATTAATTTTTAATATCTTTGGTGTATTCATTCTTATAATATTTAGTTATTTCTAAATTTAAAGCGTTAAATTCTTAAACCATCATTGATGGTCTAAGTAAACCAAGTTTCACATATAATAATAAAACAAATTAAAAGTAAAACATAAATCTTTTTTTTGTGTGAATATAAATCTATTATCTTTTTGTGATTAATAAATTTTCAAGAACTTTAAATCAATGGTACTTAATTTTATTTCTTAAGTTCACAATTCAACAATAGTAACTAGTAATAATAAATGCATCAAAGACTTTTAGAAAATACTTTTAAATGTTTTTTTTTCTATAACTCAGGTTAGAACAAAGTGAGTATATTTTAGTCTTTTAGTCACTTGAGCATTAATTGATTTGTCATAAAAACGAATATTAATATAATTATTTATTTATAATATTTTAGAGTATGGTAATTAAGAAGTCATTTAATAATAGAATATGCTTGTATCGGTTATATGTACATGAAGTATGGATGTTAAAAATACTAATACACTTTCAACGTAGTTTTCATCACATAATATTCTTTTTATATGTTATAAGTTTTATGTTAAGAGGAATTAATTTTTTATTGTTATCCAGAACCACATAAGCTCATGGACACATGATTTTTCATGTGATTTTAGCAACAAATCTAGCAGTACTAGATCGATATAAAAGAACTTACCACATATTTCCTCTGTTCCTAAAAGATAATTTTTCTAGGTTTTCTATATATATTAAGAAAAAGTATGAAAGTTGATGATAATTGCATCGTTTTTTGTGATTCGCAGTTTCATGTGATTTTTGTTACTATAATGCAAGTAAAAGGAATTAAACACAAAAATCATTATAGATTAAACACCATAATTAATATTATTAAGTAAGAAACAAAGGATACAGATAGAGAAGCTTATAATGGGAATTGAAGTTCAAAGACAAAAGCAAACAAAAGACATTTGATTAAAAATATTATTGATTTTGGTTTCCAAGTAATGGAGTTATCACTGATGCTTCTCACCGAAAGCAGTAGATGGTCCAGCAGATGTTGATGCACCATCACCCATCTTTTGATTTTCTCTCTTCCAGAATTGCAAAAGGTTGTTCTTTTCAACTGTGGTTAGGTTCTTGATTTTCTCAATATAAGAATCCAAAGAAGCTGTTGTATTAAGGAAATCATCTGGAATTGGAATATCAAAAAACTTTGGCACTTGATCAGGTCCCAAGTTAGTTTCAAGCTCATTCAATGCAGATCTGATCTCTTGCTCAACATCGTTGAGAATACTTTCATAGTATAGTTTCATGCCATAAACACCAGAAATGGGATCACGTCTACGAGCCTCAGCCGCATAGGACAAACAGTTGGCAGCAATCTCACGATCTTCAGATCCAAGTCTGTTGAAGATCTTGGCGACGTTCACGGCTCCAAAGATTTGATGAACATCTTGAAATCTCGCACTGTCTGATGTGAAATGTGGTTTGTATATGCAGTTTGTTCCACATGGTTCTCTCAAAATCTTACACACAGCACAAGGCTTGGAAGCCATTCTTTTCTGATTTGTTAGCCTCAAAATATTATACAAAAGAAATGAAATGGTTCTAAAATGTGAAGGATGACTATAACGATACTAGGAGTTGAATATTTATAGCCATGATTAAGATAGTTAAATCACTGATTTTAGGTAAAACTGTTAATATCGAAAGTTTGACTGATTTGTTTTACATAAACAAGAGTAAATTTTTGGAAATAATTATTTACTTCTATAATTTTATAGTTGACTACATTACATACTTCTTTTTGTTGGCAAGATAATATCATCCTTTGCAATGTATTAAATTTTTATTCTTTTCAGTTTCTTATGCATTAATTAAGTCAAAACAATTTTCCCTAACAATGTATTGTATTTTTTTTGTAACTAGCCAACATAAGATGTTTTCTTTTTAAAACTTTTAATTAAATTAAGATAAACTCAAACTCCATAGAAGGAGGAGAAGATACAAACTACAACAAACAGAACACATGAAAGAAAGCAATGAGAAACTTGGTCTTATGAAATCTGATATCCAGAAATATACCCCCAACTTCATTTTCCCGGCCCTCGATATTGAGAAGAATGATGAGTTCTTTGCAATCTGAACTACAAGCCCGCCTTGATACTCCCAACGCTAAAGCCACGATAATCGCCGCTTTCAAAGAAAGTACCTCTGCTACTAGAACAAAGGAAACAAAGGGTCCCGAAAATGATCCTTATTGTATCAATGCCTTAAAGAGATCCTGGATTGCTTGGGAGACATAGATGCCTTCTTCCGTGAAACTTGATCCTTCAAGCAACCTGATCACAACACAAAGGAATCCAAAACTAGTTGTCGGGACTAATGTCTTAGCCATATAACTAGTAAAAAAAAGGCAAGCACAATCCTCGATACAAGAAAAAACAGAAACACCATTGTACTAAAACAGAAACACAGAAAAAGGCGTACAAATCCAACATAAGATGTTATATTATTATTTTGTCTACTGCACACACGGATTTGATCAATTGTCTTTTTCAATTTTATTCTAAAAACATAAAAATAAATGCATTTTTAGTTTACCAATCGATCGATAATGTTTGCTGCAGTTTTATCCGTGTGTACGTGCAGATTTGTTCTAATAGATATTATTAAAGTTATAAATATTTATATTATGTTGATATATCTAATACCCAAAAGTAAAATTGCTAATTAAATATACAGTTTTATAGAAATTTTACTAATCTTTAAAGAAAAATTTTAGGAAAATTAGGAGAAAAAAAAACAAGTTATGTAAATATACTTTTATTTTAACATCAAACAAAATTTTGCCGTATACCTAGTACAAAATGTGCAGGTTACGTAAATATGCTTCGGAGAAAAGTCCACTATGAAGCACTTCGGTGTGTTTCTACCGAAGCTGACCGGATCAGCCGATATGGTTGATCAAAAAAAAAAAAAATTGCCGTATACCTAATTTAATCTAAATGCATACAAAGCTGCATGCTCCTTCGCTTCTCTAAATAGAAATATCTCAAGAATTAGAAATATCCTTTTGTGGCCACTTTGAGTTAAAAAAAAAGGCAAACTTTGTGGTTCCGTTTTAGCTCTATCGACATGCATGAAATCGAATAGTGCGATGTCAAGGAATAAAACAAAACAGAGCTTTATTCCCAATTGTTAAAAAAAGTCAAGCTCGTGCTCAACAAAGATGGATTTTGACAGTGAAGAGCAACCCACGTACGTATCCCTAAAGTAATAGTATAGTTTTTGGTTTCCTACTTGAAACTAGTATTAATGGTGGCCCATTTCGATCTCAAGAGTCAGTTATCCTTACATCACAATACAAGGTTATCATCAGTTTCAGTATACGTACGTGATTCACGTACCGACACATATTATGTACGTAATATGCCAAATCGTCACATCTTTATTCCGCAACTGGCCCGTACTGTCCTAGAGAGCATGGAATATATATATATGTAACAATGTTCCTTACACGGCAGAATCCAATTCTTTACACGCTTTGATGTTTTAATGGTTTGTAACGTCATTTTCTATCAAGATGTTGAACAATCACGGCAATAGTTTATTTAGATGGATAGAGAAGCATTTAATATTTGATTTACCTAGATTCAAAATTTTTCTTTAATTAAAGATAGATCTTCTTAATTCATCTTATTAGGTTTTTTTTTTCACCTCTCATCTTATTAGTTTAAGCAAGCTGCAGCCGAAGTTTTACTTGTAACTAGTTAAAACAATACTCACTTTGACACATTTCACATTTATAACAACTATAGTTTTTAAAGGGTGTTTTTTTCTTATGCACCAGACCCATATTATTGTAAAATATTTTTAAACAAGAACAAAATTTAACACACATCTATAGAGGTTTATTATGTTACTAGGATGAACCTATTGATTAATTTCGGCTTAACATTCCAAAATCCAAATCATATTAAACGGCCGGTATCTATATTTGCAATTGTACGAGTGAAACCCATATAAACACTATACAAAGTACGATCTAAATAATTATGATTAAATAAGACAGCAAATGTAATTATCATAAAACGCGATTATCCGCAAAGGTGAATTTTCTATAAGACAATTTTTTTTTTTTGGTTATGGGAGTAATTGTTTTTTTTTTCATTTTTATGGGAATAGTTGTTGTTTTTAATTAACGTATGTTCTTCGATTCCTTAGATTAATGCATGCATGTATATACTAAAATAGGTAAACCAAAAAAAGTTGAATATATTGATACAAACATGGGAAAGGGGAAATCCAACGGTAGCTGATATATATATATTATGGTAAAATAGACCCACAGTTTACAAAATAGGTAACTGCATAATCTATCTTTTCAAAACTTATACAGACATAGCATTATAAACTCACACATACATTCTTTTGTATGCTTTTTTCCACTATATAATTAGATGCTTCGGTACATTATAATTTGGCAATCCCATTTTATTTCTTGAAGCTAAAGCCATAATGCTCCAGCGCGCTTAAGCATTGGAACAAGAGAGCGGTTGAGATGAAGACTCATGACTTGATTGGCTCCACCAACGAGCTGCCCTCCTATGAACACGACCGGTACGGTCGGGCTGCAGCCGAGCTGAGCCAATGCTTGTTCTATTTCCTTCCCTCTGTTCATTTCATCGAGCTCATAGATCGTAGGGTTCACACCAAAGTCTAAGAAGAGAGTCTTGACTGTGTGAGACATGCAACACGAGTTCTTGCTAAAGATCACTACCGACTTCTCAGAGATCATCTTCTGTAGGTTCTCCATTGGTATAATAATGTTAAAAGAGTGTTTAGATAGCGATTTAAAGAAGGAAATATACTTGTAGCTAGAGAGCTTGAAGTCTTTTTGTTTAGATAAGAGATGACTTTGAGTTTGTGTTTGATGTAGTGAAGGATCTCTAAGGGTCCTTTATATAGCTTTCGAAGGGACGTATATAACTCTCATATTACATATTTTAATACAATTTAGCCTTTTTGTAAAGAGAATCAACTTTTTAGCACGTAAGAAATATCTCAAAAAAAATAAAACACATAAAAAGGATAACTAAGATAATGGGATTAATATATCTCAAAGAGTTAGAGCCTAAGGATGGTTCATCGTCTTGCCACTTTGCCTCTTGCAGCTGAAGAATAAAAAAGTGTAACTATCAATTAATTGGGTAAAACGTACGGATTACTAAATCTCAGAAGTGTAAAGAATATTGTGACGGACGAATCATATCCTGTCTGATGAGTCAGTAGAGATATATGCATTTTTCTCTTCTATCCATTACATTTCTCCATAAGCCTATGTTTAGTTCTTTCTTCCAAATTTGTGGTACCTTGACCCGTATGGCCGTATATGCTTTGTTATTTTCAAACTACTAAATTTAAGTTGTGCTAAAACATTAAGTATAAAGTTCTCGAGTTATAACCTTTGTATTCTTTTTTACCTTTTCTGAAAAACCCTAATTAAGTCTATATTTTGTCACAAGTTATTTTTAGTAAAATGTATTCTTAGCAAAATAAACAAAAGCTAATGTGGTCTTTTTCGTTTAGTAATCATCAGCAATCAGCGATTGCAACTACGACTGCGACAAAATGTTGTTTGTTTGAAAGTCGTTGGATCCATCGACTAATCGCATTGACTGGTCGCAACAATGAGCAACTAGAATTTTCAATCGTAATTTGTGGAGAAAGATCCCATATTGAAAGATGTGATGGGACTTAAGTAATATATAAAGGATTAGGGTCAATCCACTTATTGTCAATTGGTTTTGAGTTGGAAGCCAATAACAAATCCTAATTTAACATAATTCAATGTAAATTCTGGTTTTTGACATATCCGGCTTATATGATAAAAAAAAAAAAAAAACTGCATCTCCTTCCTTTGTGAAGGCACGAGATCGCACTGAATATCCCTAGAATACTCTTTCTTTCGTTTCCTCTTTAAGTGCGTGGCCTCTTTCACTCTCAAACAAAACGATTTTTTTTTTATACCCTCACAAAATTTCATCATAAATCGATTTGGGCATAAAGCAAAATTTTGTTTGATTCTTGACATCCCAAAGATTCGATCTCATTCCAAAAGGATAAGGCTCAATGGAACCAAAACAATGTACTCGATTTCTCCATGGAATCTGGCCCAACTGTGACCCGGAGAGTCGTTTTATTACTACAAATTAATTACAACGTGATCATGGTCCGTACATGTCTTACGTCAAAACACACTGCATCCAATTCCAAAACTGTGTCATACCATCCTAGCTAGTATCCCAATTTTATGAATATTATTGCATTTTTATACTAATATTTCATTTTTCCTATTACTTTTACAATTTCCAGAGGCGTTAAGCTCTCTTTTGTATGCAACACAAAAAAAAAGTGTAACATCATATCAACGAGTGTACTTAGTTTTGGAGTAACTTTGTTGGAGTAGCGTAGTGATGGTTTGGACAAAAAAAAAATATTTGACAATAATTAGAACTATAGAGATTTTATCAAATTTTCTTGAGCACAATCTGTATATATCTCCTTTTTTCTGGCTTTACTTGTGTTTATAAAACGAATTAAGCAAATCCGACCTCATAAAACGAATTAAGCAAGAATTATAATGACTTATCATGAGGATATTATCGTTCATCTCAAGAATTAAAAATGACTTATCATGATTAGGCAAACGTTTTTGGATGGCGTCATGCTGTTTATTGATTATACGCAAAATATTATGCTCACTCTCACTCATGTATCAAGAGCTTTCTCGGCTGGAGAATGGATTTCGCATTTGGTTGGCATTACTTATCTAATTTTTGTAAGACCTATAGTTTCATAACTCGTTCTCTTAAGTTAGTTCAAACTTTCAATCTTTTTTTCCAAAGCTTATTTTACTTGAAGGTTACATATATAGTAAACGTTTTTGTAATTAAAATATATATTTTCTAACCAAAAACGTTTCGTCCGGTCAACCAAAAGATCTTATTTAAAAGAAATTCGTAGTACATGTTAATTACTAAAATGGGATAGGGAAATCCAACACTAAGTGTTTTTATTATAAAGTTTACCCAGACGTTACAAAATAGGTACCCTCATAGTCTATCTTATCAAAATTTAGATAGACAAAACATTTCATACATACATGTATGATGTATATGTGTTTTTGTTTGTCATCTTTGATAACTTTCATTACATTATTATCATCATGCTACGTTAATTCTTTACGTAATTATCCCTTTATTTAGAAATCAAAGCCATAATGCTCCAGCGCGCTTAAGCATTGGAACAAGAGAACGATTGAGATGGAGACTCATGACTTGATTAGCTCCACCAACGAGCTGCCCTCCTATGAACACCACTGGTACGGTAGGGCTACAGCCTAGCTGAGCCAATGCTTGCTCTATCTCCTTTCCTCTGTTGATCTCATCTAGCTCATAGATCGTTGGGTTCACGCCAAAGTCTATGAAGAGAGTCTTGACAGTATGGGACATGCAACACGAGTTTTTGCTGAAGATCACTACTGACTTCTCGGAGATCATCTTCTGTAGCTTATCCATTGGTGTTTTAACGTGAAATTTGTTCGAAAAGCGACTCACCGAGGATGAAAATGTAGTATCCTTTGATTGAAATTAGAGAATAGGGTGTGAAATTGGAAAGTTAGAGAACTAGTAAAAGCTTCAAGTCTTTGGGTGAAGATGTATAAGAGATGACTTTGAGTTTGTTTTTGATGTAGTACTGAAGGGTCTCTAAGGGTTCTTTATATATAGCTATCTATGGAAGGTACGTGAAGCTATCATATTGTCGGTTCGATATAGCATTTTTCAGGGAATCAACTTTATAACACAAATTAAAGAACTCATTTCAAATAATGAAATTAAGATGCATCATGCATGGTGGGAGTATCCAAAAAAATTTGAGGCTATGATCTTTGTTGGATTTTGCGGCTCACACGTTCTTGATTCTTTACCACTTGCAACTAAAGAATTCAAACTATCGACTAATTCGGTAAAAAGTACAAAATAATAAAATCTCTTAGATGTGACGAATATTTGATACGTACGACGGTACGAATCATATCATGTGTTCAGTGCCACTCAAAAAAGATATATTTTCAACACAAATTCATATTTGTTCACATAATACATATGTACACATTAATACATATAAATATAATTAGTGTGATTTGCAAATTATATGTATGTATTTGTGCAGAACTAGATATACACAAACAAGAAAATCTTAAAATCTAGCTAGGCCATTGACATATACACTTGACACTGCACAAGACAAAAGCTGAATAAGCTTCCTTTTGCGAAGACTCGAGATCGTGTGGTATATCTCCAGAATAATCTTCTTCGTCGTCTCTTTTTTTTGGTTTTGGTGATTGTGTGTGGTTTACGTGGCCTCTTCACTTTCTTTATTCTCAGCAAAATTTTCATCGTAAATCAACTTGGGAATAAAGTTAAATTTGTGTCTGATTCTTGATACTGTAAATAGATACGATCGATCTCATTCCACGAGGATAAGAGTGAGTGAGTAACTCGAAGGAACGAAACTATATACAAATTGGAATCTGACCCAATGGTGAACCGGAGAGTCGTTACCAATTGTTAGGTGATCCTAGCCCGTACAGTCTTACGTAAAAGTACATATTATATCGCGTTCAATTCTACAAACTATGTACATTGAACACTTTTTAAAAAATTGCTAGGTGGGAAAATAAATTTAAGGTTTGTTGGTCCATCCGTAATAACTGATTTATGTATCTAACTTAGTTTAGTCCATACTCTATTCATTCTTATTTAAAAAAAAATCATTTTGAACCAACCCAAATTCATTCTACAGAAATTGGTTTTTTTCCTCTCCAACTTATATAAATGATTTGATTAATTTCTCTGAGGATATATGTAAATAAGTGTCCGGATATTAAATATCAGACAATATTTGCCATGGATATATAAGTATAACCTAAGCTGCAATTAGTATAGGGCACTTTGGGACAGAAAATAACATACTAATTATAGAATTGACATGGACTTTAAGTGGTCTCCAAGTTTTTACAAAGCCAGAAAACAAAAAAAAATGATATGGAGAACTGGCTGTAGTAATAACATACTGATGTCTTTTGTTCACTCTTTCGAAAGCTAAACCGCTGAGATTGGTTGATGATTAAAATGTTATAAGATGGAAATATGGAATGCCAATATTTGTTTCGCTGGAAGAACAACAAAGGGTATGAGTAGAAGGATCCCAAGAAACCTAATCTAGTCTCTTGGTTGAATGAGTAAACATTTACTGTGAGAGCTTGGGATGTTAGAGACTACAAGGATGAGAGCTCAGGGTGTTTATGATAGTGTGGATTTGGCAAGATGTAGCTAACCACACATGTTTCCAAGCTGGTTAAAACTCTCATCCTCTTAATAGTTTTTATTTTTCTACATTGAATGGTGTATCGAACCAAAGGTCGGTGAATCAGTCTAGGGTAATTGATTTTCCCCGAGCAGTTTACCTAATGGATTAACAAGGATTCATAGCATAAGTAAACCAAATTATAAAGAGAAAACATTATATAGATCTTAAACCACATTGGCTCTTTTGTAGTTAGTTCAAGTTAATTTTGTTGTAACCACAATGGGGTAATTTGGGTTTTTATTTACTGTAACTCGTCTTCATGAAAGCTATAAATTAACAAGAGAGAATCCATCTTTGACTGCGGAACAAAATTTTATTTATTAAAACATAGAAAATAGGTGTACATGTGTACACGATTCCTTACAATAGATTTTTTTTTTTTTTTTTTAAAACAGTAGAATTTTCTCATTATGAACAAAACATAAGAAGAAATGGTTTTGAACATGTTATGCTTTAAATTTCGAAAATTTTCGTTTGTCATAATTGATCAGTCTCATTACATTATTATTATCATTTATAAATCTACGTTCTACGTAAGTATCCCCCTTAATTTAATCAAAGCCATAAAGCCCCAACGCGTTTAAGCATTGGAAGGAGAGAACGATTGAGATGGAGGCTCATGACTTGATTGGCTCCACCAACGAGTTGCCCTCCTATGAACACCGCCGGTACAGTAGGACTGCAGCCAAGCTGAGCCAATGCTTGTTCTATCTCTTTTCCTCTGGTTATCTCGTCTAGTTCATAGATTGTCGGGTTTACACCAAGGTCTAAGAAGAGAGTCTTGATTGTGTGAGACATGCAGCAAGAGTTTTTGCTAAAGATCACAACTGACTTCTCGGAGATCATCTTCTGTAGCTTCTCCATTGTTGTTTTAACGTGAAAGTGTGTTCAAAAAAGTGACTCGCTAAGGATGAAAATAGGTTATGTTTTGATTACAAGATGCGAGATTAGGGATGAAAAAGGGATAACTAGAGAACTGTTAAAGAGATTGTGATATCTTTGGGTGAAAGTGAAAAGTGACTTTGAGTTTGTGTTTGCTCGGTTTGATGTAGAGAAGTGTCTACAAGGGGACTATATATAATACGTAAAGTTATGATATTATGAGTTCGATATAGCACTTTTTAAAGAGAATCAACTTTATAGCTCAAAATAAATAAAACATTTTATAATTAAAAAACAAAATTGCGGCCATGATCGGTTCACGCCTTCTTGACTCTTTAATTTTGCCTCTTGTAGCTAAAGAATAAAACTAATTCGGTAATAAGGTACAGAAAACAAAATCTCTTAGTTGTGAAGAATATATGATACGGACGACGAATCATGCAATGTCATGTCTCTATGGTACGGCCATATATATTTTTCATTGTCAAAAGAGATATCTCTTTATTACTTTAAGGAAAAATTAAATTTAGTTTTATATATACTGCATAATTAATTGGTATATAGTTTTCATAAGCTTACACAAATTTACAAAAGAATAAACAATAAAAAGCTTCCATTATGTCGAGAAAAATAAACCTATACATATATTTTTTTTTTTTTTTTTAAAAACCTATACATATTTCAACATTGCAAGTTAATTAATAAAGGTTTGTGAGCCAAACTAGATCATAGATTCAAAACCATAAATAAAGTATACCCTTTGACATGAACATTTTAAAAACAAACTCTACGTATACTTCTTGAAGGATCGAGATCGTAAGGTATATTTCTAGAATAATCTTTTATCCATTTTGTGTTTGAGGATTACGTGGCTCCTTGAGTTTCCATCAAAACATGTTTTTTCCAAAAACCTTTTGGTCATGAATCGAACTCGGAATAAAGGAAAGTTTTTGCATGATTCTTGACATCGCTAAAGTTCGATTTCATTCCATGACGATAAGGCTCACATGGAACCACATTTTTTTTCTCTTCCTGGATCAAAAAAGATGGCCCAACACTGTTCCGGAGAGTCGTCATACGACGAATGTGGTCATCATATTCATAACACGTACATGCCAAACACCACCATTATTGATGGTATCTTAGCCAAAATTTAGGCTAAGATATGTAAAGAAAAAGATTTTATATAAGATCAATTTTTCACATATTTTAGTCTAAAATTTGGCTAAAATACTATCAATAATGTTGCTCTTATGTCTAAAACCACATATCCTATCATAAATCCATATCCTCATGCAATCCTATCACATGCTTGATATGTTTTCACGGGGATTTAATTAATTGTCAACGTGAAACATTATCTTCAACAGAAATTATGTTACTTTTGATGATATTTTTGAACATAAAGCTAATTACTGAGATATTTTGATAAGTTTTTCTAGATTATTTCTTACAAGAGACTCTATTATACTAAAATAGAATTTACACCTAAAATTTTGAATATATAGAATATACGTCTCTTAAGACACAATGAAATCAATTACAGGTTTACATAAAAGTAGATCATATCATAAGAATAGAACAAGATAAAAGTCACCCTTTCTTTTCTTTTTTTTTTTTTTTTTTTTTTTTTTTTTTTTTTTTTTGCTAAACTGTTAATATCATTTAAGAAATGAAAACGTTTGACTTTTACAAAAAAAAGCCTATTGGCTTAAGCTCCTCGGCAAAAAAGGAAAACAAGGAGATAAGTTACAGAGATTCACAAAAAAAGTGAAGATGTCACAACCAGAGTTGCATAAAGTTTCTGAAACGCTTCAGAGGATATCTTGATGAGATTATGTTTCTGATCTCCTTATCCAAACGCAAGAAAATAGAGGCCGGTTGGAGCGCTTACTGATTATGGATGAGATTATTTCGTTGCCTCCAAATATTGTAGATGGTGGCTTGAGCTGCGATTTTCCTCAAGAGGGAAGGAGCAGAAGGAGATGAAAATCTTACCCAGGAAAGGAGCTCTGACCATGAGAGCAGCAAAGACTTATTAGGATCGATTCTTGAAAAGACTAGTCTCCAAACAGCTTGGGAAAAGCTGCAGGCGAGGAGAATATGGTCTCTGGACTCGATATCAGAGGCGCATAAACTACAAACCGGAGGCGCATAAAAGTCACCCTTCGTAAAGTGCAAAGAAAAATCAGAACAATAATACATAATTTTTTATCATCATTTTTACTTAATATGTTTAGTTTTCTTGATTGCCCATTTGCCACTGATCTAAAATTTCTCTCAAATCTTGTCATTCACCAGATTGGCTCTTAATAATATTTTGCTTAGTGTATTTTTCAAGCTTTTCCATATTTTTTATTCAGTGGTTTCAACAATTCCTGATTTTGTAGTGGGTGATCACCTCCTTGATCTATATCATGTTTCCGTCAAAGCTGTGGGAGTACAAATAAATGAAAATTATAAAGGGGTATATTAATGAGTTTAGCAACTAATGTAGTTAGGTTTACATTTTGTTGGAAACGGTAAATGAAAATCCACTTTGATCAATGAGTCATAATTTGAGATTACATCAACACCTATAAAAAACATTAAACCAAAAAGAACACTTAAGTACGACATACTCTTCTTGCAACTTTGACAACATGAGTGATGCGCGAAAAAAAAAAAAAAGAGTAGCTTTCTCTTTTGACAACGAAAACTTAAAATAAAAGTCAAGATGTTCTTCTTTTTTCAACAATATTTATACATATATATATATTATTGTAAACATAATATGGAAAAATAGAAATACAACACTAGGTTATTTATTAAAGTATACCCACAAGTTACAAAATAGGTATATCCTCACAATCTATCTTTTCATAATTCATAGATAATAGACATATCATTCATACCGACATGTATATGTTATTTTGTCATCCTTAATTAGTACAAAGCTATGATCTATACGTAAGTATTACTTTTTATTCAATCAAAGCCATATAGCCCCAACACGTTTAAGCATTGGAATGAGAGAACGATTAAGATGGAGACTCATGACTTGATTGGCTCCACCAACAAGCTGCCCTCCTATGAACACCACTGGCACGGTTGGGCTGCAGCCAAGCTGAGCCAATGCTTGCTCTATTTCTTTTCCTCTGTTGATCTCGTCTAGCTCATAGATCGTCGGGTTCACGCCAAGGTCTAAGAAGAGAGTCTTGATTGTGTGCGACATGCAGCAAGAGTTCTTGCTAAAGATCACTACCGACTTCTCGGAGATCATCTTCTGTAGCTTATCCATTAGTGTTATAATGTGAAAATGAGTTTGAAAAAGCGGCTTGCAAAGGATAAAACTAGTTTGTTTTGATCGAAATGCGAAAAAAGAAATAAAAGTGGAAAACTTTGGATTAGTAAGATAAAAGACTTTAAGTTTATATGTTTGATGTATAGAATTGTCTATAAGGCTCCTCTATATATACAGCATTCTAAGGTACGTAAAGTTATCATATTATGGGTTTGATGTAGCACTTTTTTTTAATATATAGAATCAACTTTATAGCATGAAATAAACAACACATTTAAATAATGAAAGAAAGAATACATCCCAGAGAATATATGAGAGCCTGAGGCTATGATCGGTTCACACTTTGACTCTTTGCCTCACTTGCGCAGGTAAAGAATCAAACTAATTCGGTAAAACGTACAGAAAACAAAATCTCTTAGCTGTGAAGAATATTTGATACGGACGAATCATGTCATGTCTCTATAGTACGGCCATATACAATAGTTTCATTGTCAAAAAGAAAAGATATATATATCTCTATTACATTAAGTCAATTTACTTAATTTTTGCTGCATACTGCATAGTTTTCATATATTGGTTTTTCAAATTTAAAACTGCCGACCTTTGGATCTTAATATATCTAAGGCATGCGATGTTACATATAATGTGTTACGAGTAGCAGATTTTGACATATATATGTTATGTGTTGATGCTTCTTCAATTTTATTTTTTACTTTTTGATCTTTTTAATATACAGCTATATATGCAAGTTATAGTTGCTAAACGAGTTACATTGGACATAGGTTCACAAACTTAGTTTAAACCCCACCCATTGACATATAACTAAAGTAGAGCACCACTTCGTGAAGACTCGAGATAGTAAGGTATATATCGAGAATAGTCTCTTATCTTTGTCGTTTTGAGGATTACGTGGCTTCTTCACATACCATCAAGCCATATTTTTTTATATTATTCTCACACATATTTCATCATAAATCGATGTCGGAATAAAGTATGATTCTTGACATCGCTAAAATTCGATCTCATTCCATGACGATAAGGCTCAAAGGAACCACATTGTTGTATTTTTTGTTTTTTTCGATGTATCTTGATCAAAGGTGGCCCAACATTGATCCGGAGAGTCGTTATCAATATAGATGACAAATTATAAGGTCGTCAGACCATCTCCAAAGGGAGATGCCTATGGAAAAGTTTAGAGTTTTATGTAATTAATGTGATTAAAATTAAATGATAATGAGTTAATATGTTTAGCAGCGCCCCTAAACTAATGCCTTTTAGTATCGCTCTCTAAAGCCACGTGTCTGTTTATAATTGAATGGAAACTGTGAGAGAAGGGAAGAAAAAAATAGGGATCGAAACGTATCTCTCTTTGTCGAAAAAAAACATTTTCTTCTTCTTTTGTGAAGCCGGCGACAAAAAGGGTGATTTGATGTGTTGTTTGATTTCGTCGGCGTTATGGAGCTGAGAAGGGCGGATTCAAGGTCGCCGTTATCACCATCTTTTGTCTGAAGCTAAACATCGATTGTGTTAGGTACTCAAAATTAGGGTTTCGAGATTGAATGGTTTTGAGTTACTTGAATCTAGGGTTTTCTCTCAATTGCTTAAAGTATATCTCTTGAAATCTTAAGACTTTGTGGTTCGGATTTGTGAAACGGTGTAAAGTTATAATTTTTTTTTGTTTCACTTTGGTCGATGGTGTTTGCTATTAGCATATGAATCGGGTTTGTTATACGTGAATGGGTTGGGATTAGAACTTAAAGTTTTGTTGTGTTGTTGTAGCTAGGGAGAACTTAAGAGGAGCTAAGAAGGAATTCAACAAAACTGAGGATGATCTCAAGTCTCTTTAAAGTGTTGGTCAGATTATTGGAGAAGTTGTTCGACCACTGGATAATGAAAGATGTAATATTTTCTCCTTCCCTTTTAAAATCCCTTTCTTGCTCATTGGACCCTTTTGGTTGTACTACAGACGGTATATATCCAAAATGGGCAACTTTTATCCAGTCGATTCGTCTTCCTCAAGGTCTGAAACCATCATTATTTGCTACATATCAAGAAGGCGTTCGAAAAGATGTAGAACGTGCTTTTGGAGTCTTGCAAGCTCGATTTGCCATTGTGAAAAACCCAGCTCTTGTTTGGGATAAGGTAAAAATAGGAAAAATTATGAGAGCATGTATCATACTTCACAATATGATAGTAGAAAACGAACGCGATGGATACACTCAGTTTGATGTATCAATATTCCAGCAAGGAGAAGGAAGCAGAACTTCACAAGTGGATATGACGTATTCTACTGACATGCCTACAAATATAGGCAATATGATCGGCATTCGGAATCAAGTTCGTGATAAGAAAATACATGAACAATTAAAATCCGATTTGGTTGAACACATATGGCACAAATTTGGCAACTCTCAAAATTTCAACTAAACATTGTGTTATTTCAATATCTTTATTTTATTTTGTATGTTTTGTATTTCAAGTAATGTAATATAATTTTGTTTTTATATATTTTTAAAATATAAATTATATTAATATTAAATTAAATATTTTGCTTTTTAGAACTTCTTATTGAGTTCACCATTGGAGCAACAAAAATTTTAGAGTTCCATAACTGTTTATTAATCATTAAAAAATTTAAAAAAATGTTTAACACCCCAAATTAAACATCTCCCTTTGGAGATGCTCTCATATTCATATCCCGCCGTACATGTCTAACCTAATAGTACATATTATCATATGATTGCATCTAATTCCATATCCTCGTACCATCCTATCACTTTTTTTCTCGAGACATCCTATCACCTTTCATACACTATATGCGTAATATTTGCATGTCTAAGTAAAAAACAGAATTAATAGGTCAGTGTTATGACTTATGAGTGCACTATAAACAAATCTAAAAGCAAGATATAAAAAAGCATTAGTCAATTCATTCAAATAAATTGGTGATGAAGAGAATTGCAACATGTGATCTTTTATATTTACTTTAGATCTCTTCGAATTTTAGATGATGACTCTCATCGATCTATGAATAACATAATCTTATTTTAGGACCGGTAAAAAATCTTACTCAGGCTTCGAATAGAGAGAGCAAATCGGGCAAAGCAGATCAAGCGGTTCAAAAATATCAAGCAGAACAAAAACATATCAAGCAGATCTAGCATATCAAATGCAGATAAAAATTTATTAAATTTTTATTTACTTAAACATTATATTAATTATGAATTTGAACTGCTTTTTATCAGCCTTCCATTCAAGAACTCAGACTATCTTCACCAAGTCAACAAATCCTTCTTCGAGACAATAATATATATATATTTTTTTTGTTCACCAATAATATAAGTTCTGAAATTTTCTGTTATTCACATTCTAAATTTTTGATATTTATGCATAAGCAAGAAATATCATATCCAGTAGGAGAAACAATATATGTATCTAAACTCGTATGTATATTATCATAATATATAACATATTAATCTCAATAGTACATAGTAAATTACCACACTATATTTTCATACTGAGTTTACTTTTGAGAACTTTGTTTGTTCATAATGCAACCAGCTACATATGTAAAGACTTATTCCATTTAAAAGATTCAAATGCTTGAGTGAAACAAATACAAATCTTTCGAATTTCATAATAGGTTAAACAGAATAAATAAAGAAAAATATATATTTCTTTTCTCTCTTTTTTTTTAAAGAAGCAATATATATGATTTAATGATGCGTAGAGTATAAAACGTGTTGTATATTCTCTTCTTTAATTTAGCTTCTTCATACCGACTCAACTTCTTTTGTTAGATCGGCCGGAGTTTCCTACACAACCCAATACGATAGCAAGTTTTAAAAGGAGTTTCTTGTAATGAGATCAAACTAATTGACTAGCAATATAGAATGGACAAATAACACACTCTAATAAATGTTAATACTTAAAATTTTCATACCTCTACAACATCTTCAGCTGCTGCGGTTCCATCATTTTCCGCGGCTGCGGTTTCACTATTTTCCGCGGTTGCAATTTCTTCATTTTCTATTTCGACGGTTTCATCATTTTCTGCAGTTACGGTTTCATTTTCCGCAACTGTGGTTTCATCATTTTCCACAGCTATAATTTCCTCATTCTCTATTTCGACGGTTTCATCATTTTCCGCAGTCACGGTTTCATTTTCCGCGACTGCGGTTTCAGTTTCCGTGGCTTCGATTTCTTCATTTTCCGTTGTTGAAATATCTCGAGCTTCTACTTCGGTTGTTACTGGAATTTCAACGTCCGGTTTTGGCTCTTCGACCTCGGTAGATGGAACTTGGGTATCAACACCACCATCAATATTATCCTCTATACTTTTCTCTTCTTCTACCACCGTTTCAATATCATTATCTTCTGTTAAATCAAAAACCAAAATGAACGTTACACCTTACAAGAAGAAGTGATATAACACGTAAATTAAGTGTATACTTTTGCAATGTAAAATTTGTAACAAAACGTTAAAATTAACTTGACAATTCCAACGTATAATTATTTATAAACATGTAAAATTTACCATGCATACCCTTTTGTAATTCGTCCACAACCGGCGAAACGCTCTCATTCACGTCGTTAACGTTCTCCTCCGTCGTAATATTCTCCGGCACTATCGCAGCCACCGCCTCCACGGGGGACAAAGTGGTCGTTGTTTCCTTGTCCTCCGGTGTCTTGTCATCATTCGTCGTCATCTCCACCGCCGTCTTCTCCTCATAACCTCCTTCATCCTGCTTCTCCTCCGGATTCTTGGTAATGTTTTCTACACCAGCCTCGCCAGAAACTACATCGGAAATATCGTTATTTTTCCGGCAACGGCAGCTTTCTTGTCTTTTAATTGTCTCGCTCTCTTTACCCTTCACTGATTGATCAGCTTCCAAAGGCTTTCTGATCTTTGTTGTGTTTCCCGTAACAACATCGTGTTTTGATTTTCCACAACCCATTTGTTATTGTTTCTTCTTAATTAAAACACCAATCACTTTTCTTGTCTTAATTGATTATGTGAAGAGAGAAAAATCAAAGGGCTGATGGAGAAGAATATGAATCTTTTGATGGAGTTTTATCGAAGGAGATTGAAGAAAACGATAAACTAATTTTCCAGTTGTATTTTTTTTTTGCGTTGTGATTCACTTTGGTTAGGGGAAAAAAAAATTCGTTTTAGTTATTTGTTAGGTGTTCCAACTTAAGGCGATACCAATTTTTTCACAAATTAAAAGATCATTTAGTTTCTTGTTTTTATTATTAGAATAGAAAAGGTTATGTTTAGTTAGAGAGAGACACGAGAGGTAACATAAACTAAACATATTAAGGAAAATTAGAAATATAATTACTTTTTTATAAATAAATAACTATTTACAACCTTAAATTTTTTACAAAAATTATTAGTTGTTACTACAAAAGTACAAAGAGATAATCTTATTGATTTGAAAGAATAAGACGTATAATTTGTCTAAATTATAACTTTAATATGGGTAGATCAACAAGAAATTGTTGAATCACTTTCAACTACTTAACGTTTGTGTTTTTTCATTTGCTTATTTGTCATACCAATCTCCATTTAAAAGTATATATAAATATTTAACATTCCAACAAAATAATTAAAATATGTGAGAGCTGGGAATGAGCTGATTACAAAACAAATCAAAGTAACAGGTGAATTAATAAATTATGAATAAAAATAGGGACTTATATTTGCAAATACTGCATTGTTGATGGTCTAAAACAATAAACCCTAAATCTTTGATCCCGGCGTCTTTCTTCTCTCAATCTCGAGACTCGACTCGACTCAGTTTTGAAAAACCCAGCTTTGATTCAGGACTCGTGGAACCACTAGCGATGCAATTCCTCCAGAACTCTCGTCGAATCGCTAAGTTCTTAAAACCCATTGTTATCACCGAGACCAATCCGAGATTCTACTCCTCTGCTTCTCAAATCCCAAGCTCCTTCCAATGGCGGAATCAAACGTCTACTTCATCCTCTTTATTAAAAGGTATTTTCTTTTGGTTAATTTCGTAATGCCAATTGCAAAATTTACCAAACCCAGCTTTGGAAATGGAGAAATCTTTTTGTCCTGTACTAGATTTACCAAACCTGTATAATGTTATAAAGTGTGGCTAGTGAAGATTAGTGTGTAAAAGTGAACACTTTTAGCCTATGTATGTGATTTTGAGATCATGTATAAGCTTAAGATACTAAAGGGTAAAAATTTCGTTGAATGTAAGTGTGTAAATGAATTAGCTTTACTTTGTGATGTGAATCGAAGCAAACGTATTGATTTTTTTATCGCAAGTTGTGATCTTTATGTATGTATGTGTGAGTTGCTAAGATGAAATTGATGATTATGTGTTGCAGGGATTGATAGATGTAGTCACTCGTCGTCTTTGAGCTTGTTGACTCCCAGGTCGAGCTTTTCCTCTGAAGCAGAAAAGCTTGCTGGAAATCCTACAGGTTGCTTTTTATATGTTACTTTGTTTTTGAACTGGAATTTGAGATCAACAGAGGGTTTCTCATTGCGGTTATGATGTTGCAGTAGTTGTTAAGGAATTGCATGATAAGATGCTTGATTCTGTGAATGTCAAGAGATCAATGCCTCCAAATGCTTGGTTGTGGTCGTTGATTGAGAGTTGTCAGAATCAGGATGATGTTAATCTTCTCTTTGACGTTCTTCAGAATCTCAGGAGATTTGTTAGTACTTCAAATCTTCCTTTTTTACATGCCTTGTTTGGTTCCATTTGAGATTTCTTATCGTTATTCGGGATGTATGGTTGGTCAGTGCTTGAAATTTGCTGTTTCTGGTTTGCAGAGATTATCCAATCTTCGTATTCATGACAACTTCAATTGCAATCTATGCCAACAAGTTGCTAAGACTTGTGTACGTGTTGGAGCAATTGACTCAGGTACTCTCAGTTTTGCTTTTACTTTACGTGTTATTAGTTTTGTTATATAATTTAATCGAACATGTTGTATCATTCGAGAGTACTAATGCAGTTCTTTGTGGTTGCAGGAAAGAAGGCTTTGTGGAAGCATAATGTCCATGGTTTGACACCCAGTGTTGCATCAGCACACCATCTATTGGTATGGCGTGTCAATAAGTGTTTTGGTTGTTTCTTTGGTACACATAGATGTTTAAGACGTATTCTGGATTCCATGTAGTCATATGCACTAGAACACAAGGATTCTGAACTCATGGAAGAAGTAATGAAACTCCTGAAAACGAATGACCTGCCTCTACAACCCGGCACAGCAGATTTAGTTTTCAGGTGTGTAAAAAATTGTTTTGTTTCTTCTTCTCTATGATAGCATTGTGGAAATTTGTATGTGCCTGTTTCCATTGCGTGTGCTTTCTTATCATGAAATGAACTTTAACTGGATTTTTACAGGATCTGTCATGATACAGATAAGTGGGATCTACTGGCCAAGTACTCTAAAAAATTCTCCAAAGCTGGAGTTAAGTTGAGGAAGACCACATTCGATGTATGGATGGAATTTGCTGCCAAGAAAGGTACTTTTGGCTTTACTTGTATACCTGCATTGATATGATTTATTTATTCTTGAGATTATGGCTTTGCAAACTCTAGATGGATTTATCAATCTTTGATGTATTTATATATACATGGACTTACGTTATTGTTGGACCTTTGGTAGTGGAAATAGAATACAAATCCATAGATTTTTTTATTATATCACTCCTGAACCTGTAACCTGTAATTATGACTTCTTTCTTACCTCAACTATTTCATGATTAGTGATGAGATATATTCTATACTTCTGCTAGTAATGCAAGAGACAGATCTGGAAATCTGATAGAAACTCTAGTCCATAAAGGTTTCTTTTTATTTTTGGCTCTGATGCCGGTTGCTGATTGTGTAAATATTGTTATCAGGGGATACCGAGTCGCTATGGAAAGTAGACAAACTGAGATCAGAGACATACAGTCAACACACTCTTTCTACTGCTTTCTCTTGCGCAAAGGTTTGCACATAACCACATCTCTTTCTCTGTCTTCAAGTTACTGAATAATCCTTACAAATTTGCTCCTTTCGCAGGGTTTCCTACTAGAAAGTAAACCCGAAGAAGCTGCTGCTGTCGTCCAGGTTATCTGCCAGGTAAGCCCATAGCCTCACTTCTAATATAACCCTTTTTAGCTTTAGTTAGTACGTTTAGTTTAAAGATGTGTGTGTGACTGACTATGCAGACATATCCTGATGAGAAAAAGTCATCAGTCTCAACTGAATTCAAGAAACTTGTAAATGAGTGGCCTGTGGACGTTATCAAGCGCCAAACCGAAGAAGATAAGAAGGTTAAAACTTTTCTCTGCTGTTAATTTGTTATGTTTGAACCCTGAAACCTAAACTCCTCATTTAAAAACCATACATAATTCTCGGTTGTAATGATGAACAGGCTCTAGCTTCTTCACTGAAAGCTGGGATTCCTTCCATGGTCAATGCGTTGGTCACCTCGGGTTTGAACGTGAGCGTGGATTTAGATGAGCTATACAAGAACGAAGCTCTTCTCAGCTAAAATGATTGAATCAACATTTGCAGAAGCTCTTTGGGGCTGCCTCAACAGGTTTAAAGTTCATCCTTTCGCACCTAACTGTTGATGTGATGTTTTCCTTTTCAATGGTGGCTAAGTAGAGACGAGGGAAAGAAACACATTGACCGTTTCAGTATCTTGCATTCTACGGCAACTCGCTTTCTCCTTTAAGAGATGGACGCATACGAGTTGTCCATTACATGGTGGGACTTTTGTTCTTGAGTTGATTAGTAAAAGAACATTTTCTGTAATAACAAAATAATATATAGCTTTTTGAGTCTTATCTTATTAGAAGGAGACAAAAAGGTTCATTGATTACAACTACTTATCCAGTTACGTATTAATTCGTCGTCGAATAAAAAATTGAATTTTGTAAATCATGTGACAGTGAGTAAATGAAAATAGTTGTCAAAATTGAATATAAATCTTCTCACAATAGGACCATGAAGTTTTCAAACATTGAAATCAAATAGACAATTACATAATTGATGATGATGACTTTACATAACACAAACAAACAAGAAAGAAACAGAGCAAATCAAGAAAAACCTTATTTGTGTTTTCTGGTTTTAAAAAAGACTAAGGAAGTTTCATAGCATCAAGAACGACAATACCCATAAACACAACTGAAGCAATAAGAGTTATAGCAATCGAAGCAGCAGCTTGGTTACAGAATTTGCCAAAAACGCCACAAACTTTCTTCCACATCACATGATCGTTCCCTTGTTTACCCATTAGCCCGATTGCTCCAGAGGCTCCTGTGCCGGAAAAGAGCAAAGCCACCATCACTAGATCTCCTATCAAAACCGCCATTAACAAGCCTTTGCTTCTTTTGCCTTTGCTGATCATTAGAATCACTATTGAGATGGCTGTGTAACCGCAGGCTATAGCGTTTACAGAAACGTTGTACCTACAACATTTGAAAACGTAGATTTCTTTATTTCTAAGTTTTATGCATCTCTCTAGTGTAAATATAATTTGCCATAAGAGAGTAGATTATAAAATATGTATATATCCTTATACGAAATTAATCAAGAGCATCCATTTCTTGTCATGCCAGCTAGAACTAAATTGTAAATTAAATTTCAAACTAAAATAAGAGCTGAGGAAGGTCAGAGAAAGATTGGCTGTGGACCAATTTCCCTGTTGTGTTACTGTTTAGTTGTTGGACATTTATGATCGTAAGGCTTAATTAAGTATGAATTTATTATATACGAGTTGATCTGTCAATAATATTTTTAAATACACATATATAGACATCTATGTACATGCAAATAATAATAAAAATCTCAAATCCTAAATCTAAGATTCACACACATATACAAAATTATGTTTGTCTTTGTGTTTTTCTATTAAAAAAATTTGAACATTCTACATTTTTGTGTCTTTTATATCTTTCACGTACGTGTGGCCGCAACCGCAAAATAATGGTAGAGACAAGAAGAATCTACATGCTAAATTGAGACACAAATGTGTGTGAAAAGGAGGAAGAAGGAAAAGAGAGAGGCTTACACAAAAGCAGACAAGTAAGATGCTTTGGCGGTTGTAGAGACATCAAGAGGAGGCAAGGTTGGAATAAGCTTTATAGGAACAACCTTTGTCTGTTTCGCGACACCAAGTACTATTGCAGCCGTCATTGTTAGGACCAAAGCCAACACTCTCATCGCTAACTCGACTCCTTTCCTCGACCCGGTCTCTCTCTTTCCGTTCTCCACCTCCATCCCATTCACCTTGTTCTTACCTTCTTGTTCCATTATAAGGGATCAAAAAAAAAGTTTTAAAGGTCAAAATAAGAAGAGAGAGATAGAGAGAGAGATATAAACAATTATTGGGATTTTATTTCTAAGTTTTTCATGCTATAGATGAGAGTAAAGAGACGTGTATATATACTGGATACGTACGCATAATGTGTGGATGGTAGTAATGATGTGTACGTGGCTTTTCAGTTTGTGTGTTGTGTGGCGCGAGAGATATTCTCAGCTTACGAATGAGAAAAGTAAATGGATATGTGTGGGAAAACGAATTGTGAATACATTTACGTACGTGGAAAAAAAAAGTGTGAATACATTTGCATTGAAACTTGGAAAAAAGACAAATTTTGTTAAGTATTTGACTCGGCGTGTTCCTTGACCCTTGTATATGTCATATAAGGTTAATAATATTAGTAAGCAAACAAAGATATTTCAAAGTGTGTATCCAAATAAATATGAGCTGAGGTATCAGTAGTTTGGCATATATATGCGAAATATCACCCCAAAAAATGTTTACGGTAAGATTATTCGCGTGTTTTGAAAAAATTGGAGATGATAGATTTTAAATTCGGTGAATGTTTTTCTTTTTAACTATTTTGTGAAAATGATTGGTGATAAAAAAAAAAAAAGACAGAAAAAATCATTAATTAAGAGATAAGAAGGAAAAAAACAAACATTTCCCTTTGTGTTTTGTTTTTATGTTTTGGACGTCACCACTAAAAAGGTTAGTAACAAAATAATTAAGAATGAGTATATGACCTAATTTGATACATCTATTTATCTACCCATAAAAAAAAAAGAAAAAACGTGAAAGTTTGGAATATTTAGCATGTCGAAATCTTTTTTAATTTTCTAGCAAAATCATAAATGATATATTAAAATAAAAAACAATTATTGCATACTCACTTTCGTCAATTATTACTTTTTATGATTTTGATTTGTCTCTCTCTTTCTTTTGTGCGATGCTATCTCGGAGTCGTCGAAACTCGATATGAACCCAAAACAAAAATGACATAAATATACAATTATTGCTTCATCAATTTGTTTTCATCCCTCCCCCATCACTCTCCCTCAAATCGGCACATGAATGTCACAAAATGTTCAATTCCAGATAATTGCATGTTTGTAATCCCAAAGCCTTGGTACGTGAATACGTATGTGAGTTGTTTAAACTTTTACCTATATGAGATATTCTCAAGTCTAAACATGTATGATGTTAAGGTTCATTGCTTACAATTATGTCCATACTAGTGGTTAGAATATCTTATCATCTCGCTATATAGAAAAGAAAAAAATAAAATTTGAAAACGATTTGATTAAACATTAAAAGTAATAGACAATTACTACATGATTGTTGATAATGATTTTACATCACACAAGACGACAAAAAACATAAACCGAAACAACAAAACTAACTAAGGAAGCTTGATAGCATCAAGAACAACAAGAAGCATATAGATAGCTGCAGCAAGAAGAGTGATAAAAAGCGAAGGAGCAGCTCGGTGACAGAATTTTCCAAACACTCCACAAACTTTTTTCCACATGACATGTTTGTTCCCTTGTAAACCCATTAGCCCAATTGCTCCGGCCGCTCCGGTGCCGGAGAAAAGCAAAGCTACCATCAATAGATCTCCTAACAAAACCGCCATTAACAAACCTTTGCTTCTTTTGCCTTTGCTGATCATCAAAATCGCTATCGAAATCACTGTGTAACCGCAAGCTATCGCGTTTACTGAAATGTGGTACCTACAACATTTGTAATACTACATTGCTCATTTCTGAATTTTATGTATATTCTACTAAAAAAATATGTTATCAGTTTAGCAATTAATCTACCAAATCAATGTTTCTAGTTTCTAAATTTATTTAGGTGAACAAGCTCTGGATTTTTTGGTCATGCCAGCTAGGTAGAACTGTTGGGACACTAAGTTTTAAAGAAAGATTAAAGCTGGACAAAGGCCAGGTAAAAATTGGTTATATGGACCAACATCGTTGTTGTGTCACAGTTTTGGTAGTTGGACATTTATGATTCACAAAAAAAAAATTACTGTAGACTAGTCAATTTTTCTATGATTTTGTATTATTACATATGAATTTAGGTATAGCATTTACTTATACTCTACGCACCCATAAATATAAGAACTTAAGAAGCTCATCAATAATGCAAAATATTAGTTCAGCAGTCCTACGCATGCAACCAACCGTACGGGTCTAATCAAATTTTATCAATGTATCAACCATGAAGAGCTAATGAGAGAACGTGCACTAAATAACCAAACATCAAAAAACAAGAGACTTACACAAAGGCAGACAAGTAAGTGGCTTTGGCGGTTGCAGTGATATCAACAGGAGGTAAAGTGGGAATAAGCTTTAACGACACAACCTTTGTCTGTTTCGCGACACCGAGTACTGTTGCAGACACCATTGTTAGGACCAAAGCCAATACTCTCATAGTTAACTCAACTCCTTTTCTCGATCCATTCTCCTTATTTCCTTTCTCCATCTCCATCCCATTCATATTGTGCTTGCCCTCTTGTTCCATTTACGGATCAAAAACGTAAAGATATGATCTTAGAATGAGAAGAAAATGAGTGAGAACTATAACAAATATATTGAATGATATTTTTTTAGATTCTGATGCTCTCGATGTGAGAAGAGACGTGTATATATATATTGAATGCGTTTAGTTGCATGATAAAAAAATATAATTAAACACTCACTTAATGATGACTACGTGGCTTTGAGTTATCTGGCGTCACCGCTCGAGAGAAATTTTTAACTTTAACGAAAGAAAAAACAAAAATCTTATGGATATATATGAGAAAGCAATTAAAGTGAAAACATTTTCATTGAAAGGTGTGAAAAAATTAGTATTTGTTTTGACTCAGGGGTGTTTATGTAGCTAATAAAGGTATCAAATAGGGTAATTAACACTATGTCAAACTAATGTTCAAATTACATCCGAATAAATTTAAAATGGATATCCATACTTTTGGATAGGTAAAACACAAACACAAAATATATTTCTTTCTGACACAATACTTGAATTTATTTTACATTATTATACTATGTTTTACTACATTAATGTAGGAAACATAATTAGATATTAATATATCAACATTTACTTTGATCATATGTTAAATAAAAGTCAGCTTTAAAATGAATATTTGTTCTAAAAGGAAGAATGATAGATGCAGTATATATAGGAATCTAAATAGATATTTCGGATTTGCCCACATCCATCCTCATTGTCTTTTTTTGAGTGATTTGACTCAAATTACAAAATTGGTTCTAAATTTGGCAAGTGTCTCTATTTTTAGCTAATTGTGTGAAAATGATCGGTGGGCGATAATATTGTTGTCACTAGATGAGTCATAACGAAATGATGAGTACTGCTGAAATAAGAATTACTGTAATTATATCCATCAACCACAAAAAAAAAATGGTTAATAGCCAAATCTTATGTGAGTATGTGACTCTATTACTAAAACAATACATTAATTTTTCTTATTATATGTTGGTAGTTTGCGTGGGGGCATCCATTGAAGGTCATAAAGTAATATGGCCGTTGGCAAGTGTGGACACTGACAGCTCTTTTTGGAAACACTCAATTTAATAATAGAGACATAATTTACGGCTGTCTTTCATACACCATACGGTTTATGTATAATAATACCAACTCGAATACGTATCTATTGCAAAACGGAGACACGTACGAACTTATACGTAGTAATAATATTTAAATCACATTATGAAGAAACCTGAACTGGTATTATTACGTACTCAGGGCACATAAGCATCTCTAAATTAGTATAACATTAACCAATTAATACTCAGGGCACATAAAGCATCTATAGCACTCAGGGCACATAAGCATCTATAGCACTTAACAAGACACACGCCTCTCTAACTCAGAACCGAAACATGTTTTACCATGCAAAAACGTACGTACGTACTACGTAGGTGTTCCAACCAAACAGGCTCTTGTTCGCTAGTTACAACGAAATCGAAAGACTCGGGCTATATTCTGTAAATCAATCCGTCTAATTAACCCTATAGTAGAGAACTAGAGATTTATATTGAACTGATAAATAAGGAAAGCTTGCGGTTATCTTTCTTTCTTTCTTTTTTTCTACAAAAATTAAAAATGTTTTGCTTGTATGTTGTTTGAAACTTAACTTACTAGCCTTAGTTTTAATCTAATTTTACGAAAAAAATACAAACTTTACTTACTAGCGCTTGTTCCCACGGCAGCTATGCACCAGCTTATTGTTCTACGTTGATCTCCACCACCACCAACTCATTTTGCTTTAGTTTGAGTTTTTGTCTTTTTATAATTTTAATTTATCTAACTCTAGTTTTAATCAATTACGTCTTACCAGATATTCACTAAACATTTGTTTTTATACTTCAAATCAACGATAACTAAAACTTAGGTTTGGGACCATTTCTTGATAATTAAACTGAGTAATCATATTTTCCTCTTTTGTAAGAGAATTTTCAGACGTTACTGAGTAAATTAAAAATAATAATAACAATTCAATTTACGAGAAAACGAAACGAAGATCTAAAAGGATACTAATATATTAATAATGCGTCATTTACATTATAAAATATGAATTTAATGTCCGTATAGATGCGACCACATATCAATCCATCGGTGGTAGAATAATATTTATCTTTTTAGATCCACGAAAAGATCGTCTGAATCAAAATTCGAAGTCAAAGATCCATGACCACTAGATTGCGATTTTGTCAAGTCCCGCCGGAGAACAAATTTTTGGATTTTAGTTATTTGGTGTTAAACAAAAGTTCTCATACAGTTCCCAAGGCCATTGATAGCGAAAATAAAGCAACACTGATATGGTCATTTTGGGATTCGACGTTCACATAATCAGTTATGTCTTACCAAAAAGAAATGGTGTTCGACTACTGTATAGTAAGTCCATAAACATCTAAAAAATGTAGCAAAAAACACCCAAAAATGTCTGTCATCATTACATTTTTATATAACTCATATCTTTGTTATGAATTATTGTTTCTTCTATATTCATTGTTTGAGACAGACGTCGACGTATAACGGTGTATATAGGCCGTATAAAGTCTTGTAATGGTCTTTGAGACATGTAGTCATGGGACAATGAGCTCCTCATCATGTATTCGTTTTCATCACAACTTTATTTGTATTTTTATGAGTTTTCAAAATTACTGTTCCAAACTAATGGGATACTAATAAGTAGCACTTAGGTTAGGTCGTTGGAGAACCCATATAATACCTAATAATGTACACATATTATTGCGATTATAAATATCTCATATTCCAAATTTAACAATAATTAGAGGTTTCTTACACGCAATCATAAGCTAAAATGTTATCATGATCTTCTTATTGGTATGTATGTCGTCATGGACATGTTCGCATTTATACTTAAAGATTCGTACATAAGTAGTTAATTCGTACTGAATTAGATAATCTTATAATTATGGGTTCTCTTGAGGCTATGCTAATAAACAAAATTAAAATAAAAACAATTGTGATATAATACAGATACCAGCTGCCAACGTTCAGTGGCCAACAGACTATTTTTACTATAGCCAAATTATCTATGGCCAAATTATAAATACTGTTTCCTCTGTTTTCAATTAATTTAAATTTTAGAATTTTCACATATATCAATAAAATATATTATAATTAGAAAATCGTCCACGCGATGTGTGGGTTATATACTTATGTATGTATTCATAAGTTGCACTTACGTTCTCCTGCAAATGAGAAAGTATCGTATGCAGATTACATTTAGTCAGAATGAAATTGTTGTAACATATATAAAATAGTCTTCTGTATGTCTTTTCATTATGGTAATTTACTGACCAGTATATGTCCTCATCAGTACCACTGATCAAAGTCGTTTAGACTACTAGTACTAGTCTGGTTTGGCGAAAGTACAATAATATCAAGTATGAAGCAAATGATTTAGGAAGAGTTTTTTTTTTGTTTTTTTAAGAGGTAATAGTACAATGGAGGCGTTGCGGCGAAGAATGAAATATATTGTGAGAATGCTAAAAGTGTTATGTCAGGACGAGAAGATGGAGAAGCATGTGTAGGGTGTACCAGGACATGTTCATGATTCATGAAGGTGAAATGGCAGCATGTTCTTATGCCTGAATAATAAGACTATTGTCCTATCAATTTAAATCAGCAGTTTAATTTCTTTCATGAGCCTTTAAAGCAAGTGAGAATAAATTATTCGATAAATTGGAAACCAAGAAGAAGGCAAAGAAGTGAAACATACTGTGAAATTGTCTCATGTTTTGGGTTTAACTTTTTAAATTAAATTCCTAAAATTATGTTCTTGTTTTAAAGTTATATATATGATAAGCAGTATAATTTATTAAAGTAAGTTTAGCAACAACAAAAATTTTAACAACTTTGAAAATGTTAATAGTTCATACCTTTTTAATATAATTTTTTGTAAGAAGAGTATATTTTGTGTTTGTGTGTATAAGCAATTCAAGAATTTGTGTCAAGATCTTTTTTCCTTATATACTTTTGTAAAGCATAAGTATATATTAAAGTATCCATGTAACTCTTTTTGTTATCACAAATCAACTACTTTGGTATACAATTAACTTCAACATTTATCCATTTAAGAAATACGTGGAATTTTTACTTAATAAGTGTATTTATTTTTCCTTGTTTTCTAATACTCTCTCTTTCCTACATAAATACTTTTTTTCATAAAATTTAAGGCACTCATATAGTTAAACTAAATTGGCATACACATAACTCAACAATATAAAAGGTACCTTGTGGAAAACAAATCTATAGTTATTTATATGAAAAACCTTAATATGCCAATAAACCTTATATCATAAAAAATCTTGATAATCAAGTTCCTTGTAGAGTTATTAATATGTTTATTTTTATTGTTAATAATCAAGTTGTTAATATGTTTATTTTTTGTATATATATAGAGTTTGATAATCATGTTCCTTGTATAGTTTGATGAAGAAAGATCTTTAGGAGCAAAGATAGTCAAAGAATTTTTGGTGAAAACATGATCAGTGACTTACCTGACGATATACTTGTGCAAATATTATTGCTTGTCCCAACAAAAGATGCAGTGGCTACTATGATATTGTCGAAACGGTGGTTGTCTATATGGACGATGATTCCAACACTCGTTTATAAAGACAGCAACGACATCAACGATGGTGAACAGAAAAGTGTTTGGCAGTTTCTTGATAAGTCACTGAAACAACACAAGGCACCTGTATTAGAAAGAATTGTCGTACAACTCGGTCAACAATGTCCTGTTGATGAAGATGTCGGAAAGTGGATAGCGAATGCGATAGATCGCAAAGTCCGCATTCTAAGTTTCGAGCTCAATTGGTCTGCAAAGCCAATCAAGGTGCCTACGAGACTTTACACATGCGACACTCTCGTTCGTTTGAATCTTACCAACAAGATTTTAGTGGATGTTGCTTCTCCGGCTTGTCTCCCATCCCTTACTTGGCTTTCTCTTAACTCTGTTGTTTATGAAGACGAAGATTCTCTTGTCGGACTTTTATCAAGTTGTCCTATTCTCAAGATTTTAGTTGTGAGACGACATATAGAAGACAACGTGACAAATTTCAAAGTGAAAGTATCTTCTTTAGAGTCCCTAACGTATGATAATTTAAATGCGTATGGTAGAGCAGATATTAAGGGGTCCTTGGTTATTGATTCACCTGCTCTAAAGAAAATCTCCATCTGGGATTCTATGAGAGAGTCTTGCTCGATTGAAAACACACCTCTCCTTAGTAAAGCATGTATACTAGTTATGTGTTACTCAGGTGACAAGTTTATGCTCTCCTCGCTCATATCTTTGGATATATTTATGACCGTACCAACGGTACGTAGTGCTCTTTCTCTTAATGTTGCTTTTGTTCCCAAGTATCATATTTTCCAAAGCCTACTTATGTATTAGTTCTTATATTCATTGCAGGTCAAGTTTTGTACAACAACTAATTTCTCTCAGCTTGTAGAGTGTAGGATACAACCATATGATTGTGACTGGTTGGAACCACTTATGGCTTTACTTCAAAATTCTCCAAAACTAAAACTGCTACTTATCGACCAGGTTCGTTTTCAATCAAGCCCATGCAATTTTTTGGGTGAAATTAATAAAAACTCAAAGTAAATTAAATGGTTTAATCATTCTCTTGTATGTATCTTAACTAGAGCCTCAGTATGATTAAGGATTGGCCACTTTCTTGGAACCGTCCGTGTTCTGTTCCAACATGCATGTTGAGTCATCTCGAAATCTTTGAATGGAAAGAATATGGAGGAGGAGGGGAAGAGAAGGAACTCGTGAGATACATCCTGGGAAATTCTAAGTATTTAAAAATAGTTTCAATCTCTGTAAACTCAACTTGTAATCTTGAAGACAAAGAGAAGATGATTGACGAGTTAAAATCTATGCCGATGATGTCACAATCTTCTGATCTTATGTTCAAAACTAGAATTCTGCAAGATAACTATGATGTACAAATCTTTGACTTTATATCCATTGTAATATGAAAGTAATCTAAAATAAGAGAGATTTAAGCATTAATGTAACTAAATAAATAAATAAAAAAGCTAAAAACTTAAATATAATGCTTTTTAAATAGTGTTTACCTAATTGTGCTTGTATCGGTCATTAAGACTCATGAACTCAAAAGAAAATTTTATTTTAAGTAGTAGTTATAGAATACTTTTACTAGTAAAGATAATTTTTCTTAAAATTTAAGTTCATCGCCAATAACTAATAAAAGATACCTTGACTAACTAAGAATGTCTACCAAAAACTCCATTATGTGATCGATAAAAAAAAAGACTGGTCACTATAAAACGAATCATCAATCCAAAACATAGAAAAACATACAAAAAGATTCACTAGAAACCTCGGGTTACAAATAAACTAGTCACACAATTATACAAAACCTCGAACACTAACGGAAAACACACAAACGTCAACTTGGACAAACACCAAAAGAAACAAAGAAACGAGATCAATATAAATTGACTAAAACATAAACAAAGAACACAAAGAGAATGAATCAACGGATCCTCTTGTAGAGGGAGATCACAGAGATGATGGATAAGAGAAGGAGGAGGATTGAAGCAACCAATGAGACGCCTAGTGCACCTGCAACATGACGGCAAAACTTATCGTAGACATGACATATTTTGACCCATCTCACTTCTTTGTTTCCCTTCAGACCAAGGTAAGCTACTCCACCTCCCGCTCCGGTCGCTGAGGCCACTATCCCCACCATCACCTGTCCAACACATAATGTCATTTTATATTTAATAATAGAACAAAACATGTAGTTTATTAATTAGTTGAGAATCATACTATAAACTGATTTCTTTGTGTATTATATATAATAATATTACAAAAAAAAATAACCAAAAATAGTCTTATAGTAACAGTTTTAAGGTCAAATATTAATTACCGCATCCATAATGGCAAGGTTGAGCAAGAGTATGGCAGAGCAAGAGGAAGGCTTCTTGAAAGCAGATACTGTAGCAAGTGTTGATAGAATACTGTAAAAGCAAGCCACCGAGAGTGCCACCACAAAGTATCTACACATAAACCAAACCAATTATAAAAAAATAAAAAGATTCAGTTATCAGATAAGATACTCCATAATTTAAAAGAAGATAACAATTATAAAATCTTATATAAGATGAATGCTTTATCATATCATTATTGAACATTAATATATAATTTTGTGTCATTTTCGTTAAATACTTTGCTTTCTTTAACTTGCTTTTGACTTTCCAAAATCTTTTGCTTCGAAATCTCAACCACTCCCACACGCAAAAGTATATATAAACAAAAATAAGCCATTTAGTATCGGCCAGTTGCATGTAAATCATTTGTTATATGCTTAATCTTTTAGCTAAATATACTACATGTATTTATCCTTAAATATAATGACCAATCTCTATTGGTTTCTCAAAATTAAATATTTTTAAGTTTTATAGAGAAAAATTATCCATATGCTCTAACCAAAGTTGTAATGGTCCATGGACCGATCATCGTATTACACTATCCGAATTCGACATGACTTATTTCAAGTTTAATTAAAGCATGCATGGTCTAGTACTACTTCAGAGCTGCCGTGCTAGAATAATATTCCAATGGTCCATATATACCTAGTTTTATAACGTATTTACCTCAAAAGTATATTAAAACCATATAATTCCGAATGAATATACTGTGTACGTAATTTGACTATCATATATACAAATCACATATGAATTCTGGCCCTTAGTCTCATTTACTATAAGATAATCAATCAACTTCGACGAACATATATATATACCGTAAATTACTAGATTTGTTAATAATGTTATCATTAGAATGAACTTACATAAGAGCTGGTGAGTTGGTGAACTTAGCAGTAGGAATACGAAAGGGAGTTCCAGGGATGAATACATTCTTGGTCTGTTTACTCAAAACCATTACCACTATCGACGACAAAGTAGCTGCAAACAGAACTATTCTAAGCACAACTTGAATCATCCAACAAGTCTTTGACGTGGTGTCGCATCCTGGCCCGGTCGACTTCTCGGTGTCCAACGTCGATTTGGTTTCATCAGAACCCATAACTCAGTCTTGGAACGTTAGAAAAGGTGATATGAATTCAACTTTGTGATATGGAGAGGTAGTGAATCTTTTGGTACGTTGAGAGGGGAAGGTTTATATTGTGAGTTAGTGTGTGTTTGAAAAGAAGAAAGCCTAATTGAGATGTAATTGTTGTAATAATTAATGTTAATTATTATTATAGTATAAAGTCGTGGGACTAATATGGTAGGTGTTTCGAACACGCTAGAAAAATTTGAAAATCGTAATTAAGAGTCAATATGTTCATATATATCCGTTAAGAGTCTTATCCTTATTGGTCTTATCGTAGTTGTTAATGTGAAATTAGTATACTACGCTAAAACATCGCGTGTATGTGTGTGTGCAAGTGCATGTTGCCGTGCGTAACCTTTATACGTAAAAAATTATTATGATAGACCCGAGTTGACATTTTTAAGAACGAAAGATGCTTATGATTTATAAAAAAGAAACAAAAATTTGAAAATACGAGGGTGATTATAACATCTACTATTTTGAAAGAGTTTTTATATGAACGAAAAAGCTTTAATTGAACTCGATAAACCAATAACACTATATTATATTATAGTATAATCATATTATTTGAATATCGCATAACATTCATTAGATCTCTAAATTCTTCAGTAATGACTCATGGCTTGTAATAATTATTGTAAACACGATTTTGAGAAATACCAAAACCAATTACATATGTTAATAGAGTTTTGGGAATCAAGATCGAATTAGAAGTCTTTGAGAGTTTTTTTCTTAGCTCGTTTTTTTTTTCTTTTTTCTTAGCTCTTTAAAAATCTTGATTACCAATAATTCTTTAATTTGTATATTGAGGATCCACAAGTTGATATGTTTAGGTTTTTTTTTTTTTTTTAATCTTGCGTGTGGATATTATAATTTGATATTATAACCTTAGTCTTAGGAGATATATTAAGGTAAATGATAAAGTAGAATTTTAGAGATATATACGTCGGCTAGCTTTCTAATATAAAATAGATTCATAACACCCATATAATTAAGTCGATAGTTTTGCATTTTAAACCCAATTAAACGATATAAAAGAAACTAATTTGACCTAGCTCTTGCCATGTAGTACGTTAGTCATTTTAATAACTGAAGAAACTTTAACTTATAAACAAGATTCAGTCATAGTTTATGGATATAAATCCATAGTTTATTTTCTGGCGTAGAAATGCAGAAATTTAACGAAACTAGTATATAATTAAAGAGGCAATCTCGTTTTCTTCAAATGTTAACTTTATGTCCGTATGAGGATCAATGGATAATGACAAATATTGACTTTTTTTTTTGTAATCATTCATATATATACATGGGAAAATAATTCATGTTCAACTCCGAAGAGTTTGATATTTGCTAATTTCATTACGAAAGTTAAAAATGAACTTAGAAAAAATTAATCGGTTGATGTTCTAATACGAAATATTACTAGTCAACTAATGAATTAAAAAAATTGGTCAAAAGTGTGTGAATAAACGAAGATCGTTGCCTTGAAAACTGAATGTGTATATGATAAGCATTGATCACGACAGCGATTCTGATTGATTTGTCATCTTGAACTAATTTTTTTTTTTTTTGTCAAAAGTCTTTTGTCCTCCAAAAAAAAATCTATTGGAGATGTCAATATGTAAATTACTAGTGCGTATTTATAGTTTTAACATCTTCATCAGCGAGCATACCCATAAATGATACTAGTAAGTAGTAGTAATTAAAGATTATATATGGTAACTATATAAAATTGTTTTATGTACATGCATGCAGTCTGATGAACCTGATGAGTAAGCAAAGCTTGAATGGAGAATGAGAGAGAAATATATAAATATGAAGCCGAGAGAGGTGATCCTATTAAAGAAACACACTTGTTTCTGCATGAGATGTTCCTATTAATTAACCCATGCATGTTCCTTTCGTAATCGCCACATGGAATGATTAAGACTTACATTAGTAATTAATGAGCATTAGTGATAATATAAAGCATTAACGTTTCCTAATCCTACGTTAATTAATGACAAAATAAGTCTTATGCAACTTAACTATGTATGAAATCTACAGCATCCTATTTCAGTGTGGAAGAGAAACCAAACTGTACGTGCACTAATCTAAAAACAGAGCTTAACCATGACGACACGATCGAGTATCCCATGAAATACCATTTTAAGATAAGAATCCAACACAAACTTATTTAAGTCACACTAATAAAGAGCAATGTACGTACTAAAGATAGAGAGTAGTAAGAGATAGTTTTAAGGCAATGAACTAAAGATAGAGAGTAGTCATTAAAAGAGGAGATTCATGCATGAGAAGCATTTATTTTTCCTTTGCGGATACACTCACTCACAGAGACAGTGTAAGGATATCTCCTGCTCCAACGTTGTAATGTGCAAGAGACTTGTCGGTGTCCTCCAAAACCATGGCTTTCCCACTAATCATCAACTTGTGTGTGTTTGCAGCTGGAACTTGGATCTCCTCTGCTATTTTCTCCTTCAAGCTAGCCACGCTTTCCGATAACGACTGCACCGTGATCTCAATGACTTGACCACCACCATCAGCGTTGGGAACAGAAACCGTGATCGTAGACGAGCCCTGCAAATAAAGATGATGTAACATATAATAATGGTAATGGTTAGATGTAGCTCTCAAGAGGGAAAGCAGAAGAAAGGACTCTGTAATATAATTAAGGATTAATTGGGTTTTTAGTACATTTTTGAAACATAATTGTAGAAGTAGTACATTTACTATTCATTATTAGCAAACTAATACATTTTTACTATTGGACACTATTTAGACACTATTAAAAACCCCCTTAAATCTAATAACTAAAAATATACATCAAAATATATTTGTTTTCTATAAAATTTCAATTATATAAAAATCTGTATTTTTTTTCTCTATAATTTGATATGCATTTTTTTAAAAATAGTTTCATATATTTTTCAAACAAATTTTGATACGTCCAGCTATCCTTATGTACAGTTGTGTGTCGATATACGGAAAATCATCCGTACAGCGGTCTATATATACGTATAATTGTATGTGTACAGATATATTCTAGTCTATATATATGTATTTTTGTTTATGTGTAAATATGTTTATATGTAGTTGTTTCTCTTTGTACAAATATTTGATGTACAATAATATGTTACTGTACAGTTGTCTGTCTGTACATATATCTGAAATAGTAAAATTGTACTATTTTGCTAATTGTGAATAGTAAATGTACTATCTTTATAATTATGTTTCAAAAACGTACTAGTTTGCCAACACACCCTATAATTAAGAAGAGAAACATCACCGGATGTTGAGCAAGAAACTGGTCTTCTGGAACAAGGGCTGACCCGTTGACGTCAAGCTTCTGTCTCTTTGGATTTGGTTCCTCAAGTAGTGGAGGGGACTGCTTTTGTGGCAGTGGTGGCAGATCTTGATGATGATTCTGGCCCTTGTTAGCAAAATCTTTGGTGACAGAAGCATGCCAGTCAATCAAAGACTGCTCTCCTCCCTGACGCCATCTGTAGTGGTCGAAAGATTTCCATTGAAGACATTGGAGAAAAGCATCAATAATGGCTTCCAGATAAGCGGCATTATTTCCCAGCTCTTTAATCAGATTAGTTGGAGGTGTTAACACTTTGGAATACGCAACAGTAAGCTCAGTAAACTTACTGAACCTCCCATTACTTGGATTCATAAACCCAAGCTGAGGAACAGCTCTTGCATGCAAACCCAACCAAAACTCACTCCCATACCAACCCACAAACATAGCTGTGAGCTTAATAGTATCAAACTCGCTGAGGGTCATCCCTTGAGGGATTTCCCACTGAAGAAAATTAGACAGAGAAATGTACTTAGGCAAAATAATATCACGATTTGCAGCAAGAGCAGCATCAAACCCATCATCAGAATCATCATCAACAACATTAGCATCAGTCTTTAGAGAACGGTACTCTCTAAGCTTCTGCTGGTAAAACGCATGAAAAGGATCTGACCTATGCAGAAACTTGTATCTTGGATTTGTCAAATTGCATCTCCTCAACCTCTCCTCAACAGTGGAACTCTTTTTGGAAATGAGAATCGCTGTTCTCTCGATCAGAGTTTTGGTACTACCTGGAGGTGGCTCAATGACTTCGGCACTAACCCTCATCGTATCAGCAGTTCCGTTCCTGTATTCCATAAGCCTCTTCTGGTACATTCCGTGATTAGGATCAGAGCTCTTCAAAAAGGTGTGACATGGAAACGTTTCCAAGAGCTCCGCCTCATACTCAACTCCGTGTTTGAATATGAACACAGCCGCTCGGTCGATGATACTTGCCAAATCTTGATCTTTCTGCGACATTTTTGTTTTTTCTACAACCACAAAGCAATACAACGATCAGATCCTTGGAAAAATTTCGAGTTTTGTTTTACCAGAATTCTTGGTTTCAGTTCAGATACTATCTATCTCTATCAGATCGAATCTACCGATTACGTTGATTAATGCTAAGGACGACTAGTTAGGGTTTTTAGGAGAGAGATATGAGAAACACACCGTACCTCAGCTGCGAGAGAACCGCTGTGACGTCGAGAGAAAAATGCGGAGAAGCTAACGACTTGGAGTAGAGAAATCGAGAAATGATGAAGACGAAGTGATGAACCCGTCAATACGACGAACAAAAGTTCCTAAATGTGTTCGTTTTCTAATGGGCCTTTCGTTTGGGCTTTTATTATTCGGTCCATAAAAAACTACTTAGACCGACCTATTGTATTGGTGGTGGTATAGTCTAATTTTTAATACTTCAATTGATAATGAGTTTTGTTTCGTTTATGATTAAATTAACCTTGAAATACTAGGTAATCATGTAAAATAGTACTTAGAGAGCCACATATGTTGATAGCAAAACCAAGTTTCATAATGACAAGTTTAAGTAACATTGTAGTTTCAAAACCAACCCGAGTGAGAGACTCTCTCTGTAAAAGAAGACATTAGAATCAACCTTTTGAACCAGAAGATTTCACGATACCATCATCTTAGAACGCCAATGAAGTAGGGCCTTGTTTGCATCTTGCACCTCTTCGACTTGACGTGCCCTTGGAATTCCAGTGATCAGGTTGGCAACCAACACACTAAGACCGATACTAATCTGGTAGGCTCGATATACACTTTGATCCCACTCATTTGCCGCCAGCCAGGGATCAGGGATATTGGTTATGAAAGCCTCCGTGTACGCCTCGAGAAGGATATGCTCTTGTGCAAGAACAGACTCTACTATGGGGTTGAAGACAGCATGGAGACGATACCAACGGTTGAATTCAACAACTTCCCCCATCTGCAAACAATTCATAACCAGTTTAAGAATTAGATGCGGATGCATAAACAGTTTAGGTTGATATAATCAGGTCGTTCATGATCAGTGTAATGAAGAGGCAGGTTCATATGCAAAAGGTCACAAACTTTTTCCAAAAGACAAATTAAAAAGCCACAAGTAACATATTACATACCTGTTCAAAAAAAATAAACGAGGTGGTTGTTGAAACGCTGATTTGACTCTGGGGAATATTCTTCATGCTCAGTTTGGAGGAAGTCCAACCAAAACTGTGTCTAAAAATAAGAAGTAGAAATGTATGTTATAAAGAAATTGGATTCTTCAAGTTATACAATAAAAATCAAATAGGAATTGTAAGCAGAACAAGTTACCAAATCCATATAACCCCCGTGAACTTTATATCAACCAAGACGCTGCTGTAAAGAAGCGGTTTGAAGGAAAGGTCGGGAAGAAGACCATTTCTCATACTCATGACACAATGCCGGGTAATGAGAAGGTCTGCAGCACTGCACTTGAGAAACAAAATAACAGACATTGAGTAAGCTCATACCACACCTCAACTCACCACACCACAGAAGAAGAAGTAAGTAAAAATGTTGCCAATACTATTTACATATCTATACCTTTCCACAGCTTAGAAAGTCGCAGTTTCCACATTTTATCTCGAACAAAAAGTCATCTTCTCCAACAGAGTTATTGAAAGAACATTCTTTGCACTGATAGATCATCCAAAAAAAAAAAAAACAAGAAGCTGAAGGCATGTACTCAAACGAAATTGGAAATACGAAGATTCTCAATCAGAGAAGACCATCTCTCTAACTAAGCAAATGCTAAGAGCAATTTTGACAAATCTTGCTCAAAACAGTTGTAAAACAAATGAAAATTCCCAAATCAGGATTCCAGAGAGATCAAACTTTAAAGCAGAGAAGAACAACTCTTAACTAATCTATAAGAGCAACCTCTAGAACAATTTAACACATCTCCTTCTTTACGGAAACAGTTGCGGAGACCTAAAACGCAAAATCGGAAACAGAGAAGACCACCCAACTCTAACTATAAGCAACGTTAAGAACAACTTAACACATCTCCTTCCTTACGGAGACGATCGGTGTTAACAACAGTTCAAACTAGTAAATCTGGAAACCTAACAATCAAAATCGGAAACAGAGAGAGACCACCCAACTCTAACTATAAGCAACGTTAAGAACAATTTAACAGAGCTCCTTCCTTACGGAGACGATCGGAGTTAAAGAACAGTTCGAACAAGCAAATCTGGAAACCTTGGGGGAAATGAATATCTAGCCAGAGAAGGAACAGATCTATCTACTACCAAATCAGCAAGATTAACAAAATTAGAGCAATCGGGAAACCTTATCACCGGAGATACTCGGGGAGAAGCTTCGCAGCGACGAGAGCTTTGACGGAAACTTAACAACCACAGAATCGCTTGTGTTAATGATGATGATGATGATGATGATGATGAACTATATATTTATATACTCAATGGGCTTAATCAATAAGCACTGAACACATCATCATTTCACTCAATGGGCTTGTGATGCAATTTTAAGGACTCGCTGTTAAAAGTAGTAGTAACTTGGAACACATTTACAAGAATCGCCATCAGGTAAAAGTAAACTAATTCAAGAACGATAAAAGAGATATGTAAACTGAAGAATGAAGATTCTTGATATAAGGAATATGAAAACCAGAAGAAGAGTTTTGTCCAAAAAAAAAAAACCAAACGACCAGAAGAAGAGTTTTTGGTGATGATGAATAGTGACAGAGGAAGAGAGGAAGAAGATGTAGATTGTGCAGATGCATTTTATTTTATACATAGAAATTAGAATATGTCAACATCTCTAATAAAAAACTCTAAATATTCTCTTTATTTAATGTAACGTCCGTATTTATTATTTAACTTTTTTTTTTGCTAATTTTTTTATTATTTAACTTTGGTAATTATGAAGCTTTATTTATGTTTATGAATGTTAATTTTTAGCATTTTAAGGTTACACTGTCGTAATTTTGTGTTTATTTCTATTTAGTATTAGGGGGGTATATTGTATTGGTGATTTGGTATGATTTTTATATTTTTAAATTTTAAGGAATTTAGAGAGATTTAAGGAAATTTTAAGATTTAGAAAATGATTTCAACAAATTTTGCAGAACTTTTGTTACAAATCCTTAGTAGTGATTAGTAGAATTTCAAGGCATTTGAGAAAACTAAAAACAAAATAAAAATGATTTTAAAATATTAGTTCGTAATCATCTTCCACACTGAATCATACACTTTTCAGTTCTACCCAATTTAATCAAACTCACAGAAAAGTCAATAGAATAACTGAACCTCTAACAATCAATTTCACTTTGTCTTATATAAATAAAAATCTCAGTCTCTTTATTATAAATTCCAAACATACCTTGTTCCAACGAGAAAAAAAAAAGAAGAAAATGAAACCTCTACCTACCGACTTCACTTGGCCTTATTATGAGAACTGAGTGTATATTGTCCAAGTTAAACCTCCTGCCACAAGCATAAATCATCTAAAACGTTTAAGCCAACGAACGCATCACAGATTCTGCTTTACATTATATAAATGAATAAAATATTAAGGAGATTGAGAGATAGAAAATGATAGCTTACTTCTTGCATATATCACCGTTGAGAACCACTAATGATAGCATCATTCCACATAGTTGTAGCAATTGTTGTTCTCCACTCGTTAGCATATTCTCTTTGTTGGTCTTGTGTACCAAGGAATTGATCACCACCACTATTTGTTTCAACAACACTTTGTTCATCATGAGATTCCTCAGGAGCAAACTCATCAAAACGATACTGGCGACGAAGATAATTATGCAATGCGGCACATGCAAGCACTAATTCTGTTTGTGTCTTATATGGAAAAGGAGGTGCAGATTTGAAGATCATAAATCTTGACTTGAAAATACCGAAGATTCTTTCGATAACATTTCTCAGCGAAGCATGACGGTGGTTAAATAATTCTTCTTTGTTTTTGGGATCACTGTCTCCACCGGTAAATTCTTTGAGATGATAACGAGTACTTCGAAATGGAGCAAGAAAATTACGTCGGTTTGCAAATCCACAATCGACTAGATAAAACTTTCCTGAAATATTTATATCATACGATCAAAACTGAAAATAAAATAAAAACGTAATATTTATTGGTATAGTGTAATGCATGTACCGTCTGCAACTTCAAATCTATTGATACTTCTTGTTAAAGCATCATTTAACACTTTTGCATCGTGAGCTGAACCTTCCCATCCACTAAGGACATATATAAATTCTAAATCAAAGTTGCATGCAGCTAACACATTTTGGGATAAAATCCCTTTACGATTCCGGTAGCTAGCAGTTTCATTTCCAACAATCATAGCAGGAATATGTGTTCCGTCAATAGCCCCAACACAATCCTTAAAAAAAATATAAATTATAACACAGTTAGAATTTAACAAAAAAAACCAATAAAAATAACCTCTTACGTACCTTAAAATATGGATAAAACCTTGTGCTTTCTCTTATTTTTGATGGCACTGCGTTTCCTGGTTTGGCCATCAAACTTGGGGCCATTGTGTTTAATGCCCTTAATATTTTATTAAAACTCACACTTATTGTATAACTTGATCTCTCAAACACATCTTGAGGAACAATATATTTCGAGCTCTGGCCAACAATGAGTAAAAATGTGGCCAGCATTTCCTCAACCGAAACCCATCTTGTATCTCTTAAAGAGGTTTCCAATCGAATACGATTGCATAATTCCAAAAAAGCCTCTGGATACATACGGTATAAAGTCCGAAAATGCTCCTTACCCCCACGTAGAACGCTTTGTACATATTCATTTCCCAATGTTGTAGTTGGTTTTTTCATGGGACGTTGAATTTGTGAAAGAAGATGTTGTACTAGAAAGTAAATCCTCACATTGATAGTTGACATCAAAAGCACAATATCCACGTCTGATTGAAATGTCCTTGTTCTTTTTCTATTTTTCCTTGCTTGTAGTTCTTCCCTCTCACAAACGACATGGTGGTCCATCATTAAAGAATCTGGAAATGGAAATTATAAACAAAAAAAAAGTTCTACATAAACAAGTATAACGTACGTAATCCCCTACATTTACCAAAATGTTAAATACCTTTGGGACTGAGTCTTCACTTGAAAATGTATCGCCTTGTTTTTTAGAACGTAATCAGAACCTTCCTTGCCTACACATTAAACACAAGCCACTTATGTAACAAAAGATGAAGCAAGGACAAAAGCTTGTTTAGGCAAATAAAACTTCATCAAAAAGAAAAACAGCTACGGTGCATTTTATTAATTGGAAAAAAATACAAGAAAAATATCAAACTCAAAATAAAAACCATGGAAAACGCATAGATGATTAAAATTGTAACAAAAACAATAAGCTGGAAAAAAAATTCAAAAGCAACGAATGATATTTCTTCCTCCCTCAACTCAAGGCTTGCGCACACTACGTTTAATCCATCCAAAACGTTCCTCTGTAGTCATACTCACAAATCCGGCATTCATACCCCACTGGTGAATTAAGTTCATCGCATCGAAACGTTCATTTTCCTCTAAACCTGGAATTTCCTTAATAGCATCCCATACATTATTATTCTTTTCCTCAGCTTGCTTCTCTTCAGCTTCTTTCTGCCATCTTTGTTGTATCATGCTAAATAGTTGGCTGCTCATTCCTGTCGCTGAACTTATCTCATCAGTAATCTTGTCCACATTGTATCCCTCAGTCCTAGTTTTCTTCCTGATAGGAAGCTTTTCGTTTGATTTCCTCCTGCCTAATGAAGATGAAACAACTTGCTCAGGTAAATCTTCTACTCCATCAACCTCATTCTCATCCGCCATTTGAGGAATATAGTTATCTTGAGTTTCCCATTCACTATCTCTTGGTGCATAAGTTCGGGCCTCTGTGGTATCACCTAACCCAATTGCATTCTTTCCAGTTGCAATCTTTTTTCCAAAGATCTTGTCTAAATCCTCAAAGTCTTCAAATGAATCGTCACGTAAATGTTTACTTTTTGAATGTCCCTGTTGTGACAAAGAAAAAACGTTATCATATAAGACAAAAACATATGCATTAGAAATTAGTAAATTAAACTTGTATCTGTATTTTTACAAATTAGTTACCTTAAAATAATCATCCCACACTTCTTGTCTAGCAGTAAACTTTTTCGTCTCCGGATCCCAACCAAATCCTGAACTATAACTTAGAAGATCTACAAAACTCTTGTGCCTAGCCCTTAAAATCTTCATCCTGTTTTTATAGTTACTATATGTTTTGGTAGTCCCACACTCCTTGTTAAGAGCTGGTAGTATTCGTTGCTCCACTGTAAGTTTATTGAACGAACCACTAGCATCACACCAATTCTGATTCACAGCATCCACCAATAAACGCACCAGTATTTTTGTTTCTTGGCTAGACCATGGTAGATATTGACCCTTACATTTTTCTTCTTGTGGATCCCCCATTATAGTATGAGAGATAGCTAGCCATACAATTAATAGAGTAAAAAACCAAATGGAACCTCAAACAAAAAACAAGAACAACAAACTAAACGTTATAATTAAAACCCATAACAAGTTTGATCACAAACACCATAACAAGTTTGATAGATAGCCATACAGTTAAATAGAGTAAAAAAATCAAATGGAACTTCAAACAAAAAAAAAAAACAAACTAAACGATATAATTAAAACTCATAACAAGTTCGATCACAAACAACTTGATTTTTATGGAGAAACAAACAAAACAAATAAGTTAATCATAAAAAAAGCAACGACTCTTACCTTTTAACCGTTTGAAAAAGCTATTGATAAGATGCACTAGATCCCTCTAATCTTCTTGTCAAGCGTCTTGGTTTTTTAGAGTTTGACGTAGGTTTTCTAGTTTGACGTATACATATATTTATACGCTTAAATTTTGATTAAAATAATAAAAGATTAGGATAAATCTGAAACAGTTCTTATTATCAATGAAACAATAATATATTTCAATCGTTATCAATAGAATATTTTCTTCACATATGACATACCACGTTTATATGTGGTCGTAGTAAAGATTTTTGAACATGTTACGGCCATGTTATTTGGTTATAAAACTGCATATGTATGTATATGTGATCAATTCATGTATCAGCCATCTGTTCTCTTTTCCTCCTCTCTCTTCATTAACTTTATACTAGTAATACTTTCTCTCTCTCTCTCACGCACTTTTTCTTTGCAACACCACCATTATCCCATACATACATGCTTCCACAAGACTCAAACTCCATAGCATGGGATTCTCACGGTGGATGAGATCTCCGACTCACTCTACTCACGCCCTTCACTCCTCACCAAGCTCACTAATCATTACTTGTATCTCAAGAAAGATCTCCAATGACACCAAAGTTCCTCGAACTCACTCCATTCTTCAAGCCCGTCCGTTAAAGGACTCTTTCTTCCTTTCTCTCTTCCAACGATGAACAGATCGTATTCATTTGCAATAGATTCAACAGTTCTCATGTCTGAGACGCGTCATTCACTATTTCGTCGGTGAAGATAAGGTCGGCACCGGCTAGAACGTTGCTCTTCACGTCTCTGAGCAGTTCTAATGAACAATGAGTAGATGTGTATTGTTTTATAAATAGAAAAAGAGAAAAGAAAAGAAAAGAAAAAAAATCACTTTTAAAACTCTTCCAAATATCACTATAGGAGGTGTGATTTTCAACATGTCAATTTTAGTTATAATTTGCTTTTGAAATCATCTGAAATCGTTTTTAGAATAATTGTATTATGAAATCCCAGTTTTCCAATAACATGATATTTGAAAAGATTTTAATAAATGATTAATTGAATAACGTTAGATTTGGAATAATTTTAACAAATAGTAGATGCAATAAGATAGAATTTTAATAGATTTTATAGAATCACCAATCCAATAAGCAGAGATTGTTAAAAAAATTAAAATCATCCTAAATCACTGATTCAATATGCCCCCCTTAGTATTTTGTAAGTGATTGTATTATTAACTATTAATATTATAATTAATAATATTTACGGATATTTTATTGATAGTTTCATAGATAAATACTAGTTAATATGGATACATTTAAAATGTAAATTTGATATTTAAAAAAATATCATTGAGACATAAATAAATTTCATATAAATTTTTTTATTACAAATTATATGAAAATATTAATATTTTTTAATATAATGGTCAAAGGCAAAAACATATGGGTCTAATTTATTATGGATCTCGAAATAAAAAGCCCAAATAAATAAAGGCAGACCCATTTAGTAAAACCTAAAACCACGAAATCGTATCCCTAGTATAAAAACCTTTCTGCATCTTCTTCCATTTCGTCGCGGCGGCAAGGAGAAACCCTAAAGTAAAACAATGGCGACTCAACCAGCAGTTGAATCTGTGCAATGCTTCGGAAGGAAGAAGACCGCGGTGGCTGTAACTCACTGCAAGCGTGGATCTGGTATGATCAAGCTCAATGGTTGCCCAATCGAGCTATTCCAGCCTGAGATCTTACGATTCAAGGTGTTCGAGCCAGTGCTTCTCCTCGGAAAGCACCGATTCGCCGGTGTGGATATGAGGATCCGTGTAAACGGTGGTGGTCACACTTCTCAGGTGTACGCTATTCGTCAGAGTATTGCCAAGGCGCTTGTTGCGTTTTACCAGAAGTATGTGGATGAGCAGTCGAAGAAGGAGATTAAGGATATCTTGGTGAGGTATGATAGGACTCTCCTTGTTGCTGATCCGAGGAGGTGTGAGCCTAAGAAGTTTGGTGGTCGTGGTGCTCGTTCTCGTTTCCAGAAGAGTTACCGTTAAATTAAAAAAAACAAAGCTGGTTTGTTTTTGTTTTTGTTTTTTCAATGGAATTGTGAGAAGACTGTTAGATTTATAATTTCATTATCCAAGAAACATCTTATGTTTTGTTGTTATGTTTACTCGATTTTGATTATCTTAAAGTTGTGATTTTTATTTGCTATATGCATAGTTGAATCTAGAGGTTATGTTGATCATTACTTCTGATATGGATGTGGCTTAGCTATATAGATAGAGTGATGAGATCTTGATAGTGTAGTTTAGTCTTTGCCCTTGAGTAGATTCTCAATAGAGAAGTTGTGTTCTTGATTAAGAGTAGATTCTATTGCATTGTTGAATCTAGAAGTTTAGTCTTTTCCCTCGAGGAAATAATTGTGGTTGGTCTGCTATGTTTGGTGGATTCTAATGCATTGAGTAACAAGACAACTTATCAATGGTTTTGTTATGTTACTTACACAGCAAGGATAGGTTCTAGAGTCTTAAGGACACAACGTTAGTTTCTTTAGATAACTTTCTCTCTGCCTTTATCATTTTGGCATCAAAGTTCTGAAGCAAATTAGATTGACCATCCATGATCCTACAAATCTATCGAGGTATTAAGTATATTCATAATTTTATTGAAAGCAGTGAAGTGTTCTTTTGTCCTTGGACAAATCGCTATAGTTCAATCTTTGTATTTGGGATTTGGTTTCTCTCATCTAGACAACCATTAAACTGATTTGCTTAGAAGATGCTCTTTTTGTGCAGTTTGATTATCTTCTAATGTTTTGGACAAGTAAACAAATTATAGTGATTTGACTTAATAAATACATCTATATTCCAAAATTGATAATGGTTTTTAAATATCATATTTGAAAAAAAGATTCAGATATCAAAGTCTTTGGGCGTGTTCAGAACCTACTGTGATCATTGTAGCACAAGTAAAAGATATTCTTATTATGTAAACCAAAAAGAATCATACAAATAATTAAAACAAATCTATTGTTAGATGTTCATAGAAGTGTCCTCTAGCTTAGAGGCTATAACTAATAACAGAGGTTTTTGGTGTTTAGTCTTCTTCGGCCATGGGTGCATCGTCTTGATCAGCATCTCCAAAGTCATCATCTCCACCATAGGGTGCCACCGGAAGAGCTTCGTCTTCATCCAACAGTGCGTCAGGAATCTCCATGTCTGCTGTCACTTTCATTTTCTCCAGATTCCCCTCACTAAAGAAAGAGTTCAGTGGCTTTGATACCTACAAAACACACCCAAAAATAACAACATTTCTTTCTTGATCCCATTAAGTTACAGCAAGGTTCATATTTTAACCACAGAAGGAAATAAAGGCTTTACCTTGAATAATCGGTTTCTTTTCTCAGCACTTTCGATAAGGTTTTTCCATAGCGGATCGCTCTTCAATGTTGCAGCTGAACCAACGACCTGATAAGCAAGTTTTCAGAGAATGGATCAGTGAGATATTGAACCAGAGAGAGGGTATATATAAATAAAAGCCAGAGAATAGCTTCTATGCCAGGTTTGGTTTTACGTCTTACCAATACTGAAGACTTAGCTCGTGTAATCCCCACATTCATCCGCCGTGAATTAGAGAGAAACCCAATCTGTCCTTTATCATTAGCTCTGACGCATGAGAATATTGCAACATCCTTCTCCCTTCCCTTTTCAGAAAAAAAGAAAGAGAAATGGATTAAACCTGGGGACTCTCAGTTCATTTCTATGGTTTGAGTTCTGAGATTGGTATAAAAGCAGAATCTAGTGCATTTTTAGTTTGTTTAAGCGCACATTTGATGTTGAACTGAGAAAAGAGAGTAGAATATTGACCTGGAACCCATCAACAGTGTTAATATCAACCACCTTTTCTGCCTCGGCACCAAACATCTCCTTAAACCGATCTTTGAAAGTTTTGACTTGGTAGTTATACGGCGATATAATAGCTAGCTGAGAACTTGACTTCAGCTCCGGGTACATGGTTACAAGTCTGTGGTAGATGAGAAGAACAAATTCCACCTCGTCTAGATTTACCCGAGAACCAGTTGCTCCTGGATGTTGAGACTCTTTCCCTTCATGTATATCGAAAAAGCAAAATGGACCAAAGCAACGGTATTTATGCCAGTCCCGGGTTGTCTGAGCTTCAATGTCAGCTCCATCTTCCAGTGCCTCTTCATAGAATTGCTTTGAAGGAAAGCTTCTTATCTGATTTTCAGTTAAAAATTGTTGGTAAAATGAGATGCAACCATTGAAGTAAGAATTAGGCTAACTACAATCATTTAAAGAATCTTGTGAAATTGCTATCAACTGATGTTAATTCTTAATAAATCTGATATCCACTGAGTATATATCTAAAGTGGATGCTAGATGAGAATTGCTGCATACCTCTGGATGCATCCGGTATTGGGTCTTCAACATTTTCACTGGATAGCCAGCCTTTTGAAGTCTCTCGAACATGCTTGTGCCATATCTTCATTGAAGAAAGAAAAAAAAATCAGCATGCAAATAGTGTCAACAAAATATTTTCGAAAGACATACACAGATAAAGTTTGGACGAAATGAGTGGTTTAAAGCACTTACCCAGAATCTTGAGCAACAGTTGAGATTACAGTAGCTGGGAGTTGTTTTGGATCCCCTACCTGATAAAAATAGAAATTTAAAAACAATTAGTTGCCTTTAAACGATCATATTAATCATTAACTCATAAACTTATGGTGTTGTGCTTGCTGGATGTAATGTTCAATTCCAAAAAATGGGATGCTTCTAATGATGTGTGTCAGATTATCTATCTATTTATAATATACGAAAATTACTGCAATTTTGATTCATGAAGTAATGCTATGGGATGTTACCAGAAACACTTGTTTGCACCTAGTGGCCAAAGGGATAAGAGTTGCGGGCTCAACCTGGGAAAAGAACACAAGAGTAAATTTCATTAGCAACGAACTCTGACTAGGAGATAAGCTTCTGACACTCTGGGAACACAAGCATTAACATTTTCTCTACCTGCATAAACTATTTATCAGTAAAAGGCTACTTTCACGTACAAAGTAAACAGCTAAGAATATAATTATCTGGATACTATAGGTTAGGGAAAACAGATGATCAACTCCATGTACCAACAATGCCATGATCGCAATTAGGAAAAATGTCTCATGCAACTTGAGTTTCAAAATAAAGCATCATATTTTTATATCCATTTTCAAATATGAAACCATCAGACATTTATAGGTTCATGTAAACTTTAGCAGAAACTTTAGCAGTTAGCAACACATCCAAACATTAGTCCACCTATTCGAAGGGGCTTACAGCTTGTGCAGCTTCATCGATAATAACGACATCAAAGCCACGGTTAGATTTAGCAAGAAGTGCAGAGCCACTGAAGCTAAGGGTAGCGAACACCTGAAAGTGCAGAAAAATAAAAGTGGATAATCATGGAGGGTAAAAAGAAAAGCTTTGAATTACATCAACACGAAAGTAAATTCCCCATACAATTGCAGCCTCTTCCAAAATTGCAGTGCGCATACTATCTATATCAGTTCCTGTGGTTCCTTGTTTTGGTTTATCAATGGAAGAGCCACGCTTTTGTGACACCTGCAAAAGAATGTTCTTAGAAACAGTACCAAACAATAATTTTGTCAACAAATTGTAATTTCGCTGTTAGTTCTCTACTAGTGTGATTCCTCCTTGAGTAGTCTTAACCAATAGACCTTTTATTATCTAATGACAGTTAGATTCCCAGTTGAATAATCTTTAAGAAAGTTAAATCAAGTAACCAAAACTAAGCCAGGACGAACGGCAATCGTAAAAGCTACTAGACACATACAAGGTGATCCAGCGATACTGACGCAACGGAGTGATGTGCCTTGAGACCAATTCGAACTATTTTGGGTGAGTATGTCTGGGCGTTTTCATCACGAAGACCTGAAAGTGCAGAGACCATAATATATAAGATCATTACCAACTTTCCAATAATGAAAAATGTATTGGATAAACCACATACCTGTAGTCAGAAGCCGCAATACAATTTCATCAAGTGCCGAGTTTGATGGAGCACAGACAAGTACACGTAATCTGTACTTCCGACTGGCATTAACCACCTCTGGTTTCTGAATGCAAGAGAGAATAAGATAGGTGGGGTTACTATATGATAAAATAAATAAATGCAGGGTAACAAATTGTCTCATAATAAAATCTTCCGACTTACCAATTCATTTCCTGAGGTTGGAAAAAAGCCATCATCACCATCTTCAGGCATAATAGCATCTCGAGGGTTGACACCCAAAATCCAAGGAGAAGCTCGTCCCCATTGATTGTATCTGCAAACAAAAGAAATGCTGAGACAAGTTCACCAAGATGGAGGTATGACATGTAAATATCTCAGACCAAACTATTGATGCAATGTAATCTTATTCTAAATCCTCTTAATTGCAAGATTTCATATAAAACATCATATAATATAGGTAATATCATAATACTAGCAATTCCCAATCATTATGAACACAATATCTGGGTGTGCAAGAACTAAGTATCGAAATATTAAACAAATCTTAACAAGGGAGAAAAACCATACTTCTCCTCGATGGTCATCTGAATTCCACGCTTCACTTCTTGCATCGTACCCCTATAATGAAAAAAAGAAGAAGGAATATTAACCAGAATGCAAAGCATAGTAAACATCCTAATTCGGAGCGGCACAAAGTTAAGTGAGCCTCAAGAGGATAGAATGTAAGAAATCATACTTAGACTGGACTCTTGCTGGAGTGGCATGCATAATAGCTCCAAGAATGCTAAGAATTGTCTGTGTTTTCCCCGTACCTGGAGGACCCTAATGAAGGATAGATTCATTAATATACAAATCAAACTGTCCGTAGGTTAATTTATCTGCTTGTCAATGCAATATGAAAAACAAATCTACGATATCTATGTTGACTGTCAATGCAACTTCAAAAGAAGTATTTCATGTCCACATAGTTTACTAGATCAAAATATTGCCAACTTCAAACAGATTTTGTGTTTTATTGCTAGCTCAGTAAGCATGTTAAAGAATTTTAATTTGTGTATTTGACATTAGTGTATAAAGAAGTGTGATATCTTAACATGAAAAAGCCAAGTAACATGAAACAAGTTAGAAGAAGAAGTAAACCTGTATTAACACGAAGGATTTCCTTGATAGACCAACCTGCAAAAAAATGTTTTGAGACAAAGAGTCCAAATCTATGTTAACGGAAAGTGTAAAAATTTGTAAGGAAAGAAATGACGAGGCCAAACTTACATCAATTGCCTCCTTTTGTGATTTGTTAAGATTTTCGTTAAAAAAATTATGCAGAGGTCCAGATATTTTCCATGCTTCATCTCCAAAACCACAAGATTTTTCTGCTGCAGTAAAGATTAAATCCTTGAAAGGGAGCGAACTGACCGATCGTAGTGCTATATATTCCCGAATAATGGTTGATAAACCACATAACTACAAAATAAACAAACCATATCATGAGGTCTAATTCTATCGAAAAAGGATATGCAACAGTGACATAAGTTTATGCAACAGCCGCCAGCTTTAACTTAAACGTAATCAAATTCTAACTAGACAGATGAAGGAAAAAGAAGAAGAAATTAAGCTAGCACAGCATACAGGAATCAATAAGACATGATATAATTTGACATAGTTGGTGTGTCATAACTCATAACAACTGACCTTTAAACTGAATACCCTTTTGTCGATAGGGCTGGCAGATGATGTAATAAGAGAACGCATATTTGAGAGAGCTTGGATAAATGACTTTGTTCTAGTGGATTTACTATTTCTGGTTATCTTCACTATGTCTTCAGCCAAATACATCCGAAGACGAAGAAGATTACTTTGACGATGTTCCACTACAGCAAACCCATAAGATGAAGGAAATGAATTCCCTTTAACCTGAAAAGATTAATCTCTATATGAATCCACCATTCAAAAACGACTTTTATATAAGCAAGTACATAATCAGAAATACTAGTCATACAACACCTTAAAAATTCAAACAAAAGCAAAGGAATAGTATATGTACCTCTTCTTTTGACAACAATAAAAGATCATTTTGAGCAAGATATTCATCCTCTTCATGTTCGTACGTGACAAGCAAAAAGTGAAACCCTTCACCCTCGCTGCATTCCATTACCAATCTCATTTTACACACCGATGCTAAGAGGAAAAATGACAGCAAATTCATTTCCACAATCAGAACCAAATATGTAAAGAAACTAGTTTATAAACAACATATCTTACTACAAGTATACAAATTTAATTCCCACTAACAGAACATCAAATCTAAAAAGAAAATCACTTTCTTCCATGATAGACAGAATTAATAAGGAAAACAAAACTCTAATTACAAAACATCATTAGATAAATATATATATATATATATATCAATGCTAACCTTCTTCACCGTCTTGATTCTGCAAAATTTGAGCTTTAACTTCCTCAAAGAGAAGTGGTTCAAAAGTCTCAAAATAATCATCAACATCTTTATAAGTATTCTTTACAACATTCAACTTCTCTTTAGAATCCTTTCTATTTTTCCTCTGTAAGATCAATTACAAAACAAAAAAAAAAAAACATAATTGGACATAAGTTAAATCTCACATTCGCCTAATAAGAAAACACATATAGTTTTACACAGATGAAGAAGGAGTTAGTATGATCGATCATGAAGTTACCTCAGTCTCTTTTGTAAGCTGTTTATAGTCCCAACCCAAAATAATGTTATAGAAACGAGTAACAGCTGAAGCTTCTTCTTCTTGTATCTTACCTTTATCGATCGCCATTACAAACTAATCTCCCTCCTCTCTCTCTCGTCTCCAAATTCGCCGCCCAGATTCTACACTGTACATGCATCATCAAACAAACCAAAACGAAATTGAGGAAGAAAGGTTATAAAATCAATCTTAAGCATAATGTGATCATAAACTCAATCATCAATAGATAAAACCCAAATTGACTTAGGGAATTGAATTTGAAGAGAACAACAAGTGAGCTAAATTAAAATCTCAATAGAGGCTGTGTCTAGAGCTAGTAAAGTTATTGTAAGATCAGCTCAAACTCGTAAGCAATTGGAGTATGTATACGAGCTCCGGAGATAGGATTTTACCAGTCGGAGAAGAAGAGAGAAGACGGCGGAGAGAGACGGTTGCGGTGTAGCTGTAACCGGGAAAAAAGGGTTTTAGCAAAACTTCTTATTTCATTCTCTCCTTTTTTACATTCTATGAGAACATTTGGTAATGGGCCGACCAAATTATAGGCCCAAATGAAAAAGTTAAAATTTTAATTAGGATTAAAAATGTTAATATCCTCTTATTATACAGTGATTTACTTTAAAAGTTTCAATCGTAGTTACATATGTTTTGTTTATCTTTATATCACACTGACTTCAACTTGTAACAAATCTGTAATTGTAGAGAAGATTGGAAACAAGTTAGTAGTTTCTGATGGTGCTGCTGGTGCAAGGGGTGCAAGCAAGATCAATGGTTGAGATACAAACTCGTAGAACTTCGTGAACAACTCCTCGTTGAAGCACTCGTAGAACTGTTTCTTCTTTCCCTGTTACGACATCGACTAGAGAGACCTGTCGTGATACTATTTCGTCTCTCATTCGTCTCCCACCTGACCATCTACCTAGCGTCGACCATTTCACCCAAACTAGCTGCTCTGAGATTCCATATTGCCTTAGAGCATCCAAGATTTGCTCCGGCTGTAGATTAAAGATGGTAAAGAAAAGAAAGTGTCATAGTGATGTAACGAAAGTTTGGTTTCTTTTGAAACAAACAACTAACCAGCGGGTTCAGGTGTTTTATGCAGTAGATGAGTCCAATGAGGTTTAACAGCACACTCAAGTTTGGTTTGAAGAGAAATAACTCCACATCTTGAAATCCTAACCTCATCGAGCTCATTGTTTCGACCGCGCGCAGATATTCTCCGGCCTCTAGAGACAACGTAGCAGGCCATTTAGTCACATAAGTAATCACCTCGGAAGCTCTAGACGCCATTTCCTTATGCTGCACCACATAGAATCTTCTCCATTCCTACAAAAATGTTTAGAATATAGAGTAATTATGAAACTATTATAGACCTCATCGTAATCAAAGTTTACATAGAGTTTTAATCCTTTCGCCACAACAACAGAGGCAACAAAAACAAACCCCAAATTAGAAACTAGCAAACTCTATCTATAAGTCTCCATTTTCCTGAGCTATGTAGACGATCATCACTGTTTCCAATTCAAACATAGCAGATAGTTTAAATTATAGAAAACCCCTTTCTACATCACATCACATCACCATCCTCCAGTACTGAGCAATTGTTAAATATCTCAACTAAAACAATCTACACAAGCAGCACATATCAATCCATGAGGTTATAACAAGCTCCAATGTATCCAAATCACAATTCAATTCAACAACAAATTAACACACACCATCAGACTACGAGTAGACAAAAATCTAAAACAACTCCAGACTTGAATTTGTAAGAAACAAGAACCTATAGTAATGTCTCATTTTTGTACCTGGGAATCTTCATCAGTAGTTCCAGCGTTTTGGGGATGAGGAAACAGAGTACTGTCTGCATCAAATGTGCACAATAAAGGCCATCTTTTTCTGAACAGAGGTTCCCATAAGACATCAGAACCACATAGCTCTCTCCAAAACCTAGAACAGCTACTGAGTGAGCAAAGATCAATCACCTATACATCAAACAAGACACAATTTTTCATCACGAATTAGCCTCAGAATCAAACTCACAAATTCAAACAGAGATTTAGCTTAACATTACAAGACAAAACCTGAAGAGAAGAGCCGATCTTCAGGATTATATCATGGGGAAGAGAGCTACAAGAAAACAAAATCGAATTCATACTTTTTTTTAATAAATTTTGAAACTTTCTTCAATATCTGTGGAGATATTTGGTTTCTAAGCAGTACACGTTACCATATGAATATGAAGGAGGAGATGATGATGATTATGATGATGATGCCGATGACGGTGACTCACCACATAAAAAAGTATACTTCTTGACGTTGACTGAAAGACAAAATTAACCGAACAGACAAAAATGTCAAATTCTCGGTGATTTCTTCTTCTTGTAGACCTTGAACTTCGAAGATGGCGTGTGCCCAGATCAGATTCATATGTCTAATCTCATACGAACTCATCATTTTCAAAGGAGCACCAAGAAAAGGCTCTTCTTTGATACAATGTTGGTGTATAGGTGAATGGCCGTAAGTTGTTCGATAATATGCCTGAGAGAAAAGGTATAACTTGGCACTTAGCAATGATCATAAAATAGAAAAGAACGGTTTTGGGGCATTCCGAGAATTGAACTCGGGACCTCTCGCACCCTAAGCGAGAATCATACCACTAGACCAAATGCCCGATGTTGAAAAGTTTCATTTTATTTTCATAACTATCAAAGTGATTTTACAAGAGAGAGTTCTCAGTTCTTACTCATTTGATTTAGCCACAATGATTAGTTCATGTTGTAACAATCTTTCTAGCTAGATATGTATTCGAACATGTGTGTGTAATTACAAGTTTTGATCCAATCGCTTTGAAGGGTTCTCAACACCTTGTCTCAGGTATCTCTCATATGACAACTTTAGAATGTCCTTATACTTTGGAATCTTGCAGCTATTTCAAGACACTTCATCTTGAGCTCAACCATCAAGCTTGGCATTATAACATTTATATCTCTATTGAATCTTTAGAAGATACTTAATTACATCTCATCAACATATAGCACTATAGCAGCAAGTAAAGCTTCTCAAACGTTTTGTATAATCTTACCTTCACACACTGATCATAATTTCATCTTTAAAGCCATTGAACTTTCAAACTTCTAATTCTGTTACCTTGAGGAGTGCTTAAGAGCATATACATAAATATTTCTTTAGAAAACATATAACATATATGAGAAGCTTTACGTTCTGATAAATAAGAGGGGGTTATTGAACTGTGTATTTTAAAAGAATTGAATGGATTCTGAAATCAGTCGTTATTCAATTAGGTAATTTATAAAGTACATTAAAATCCAGTGTTATTGGATTATGTATTTGTTTGATGTATTTTAAAATACATTCAAAACACTGTTATTCAATGTGCAAGTGATTTGGTGTCATTTCAGATTTTATTGTATTTCATTCTAAAAATATGAACAAACAAAATCCAATATATTTTCTCACGTATTCTAAATCTTTCTATTCCTCCTTCTCTTTCTCTTTCTCGTTCTCTCTCTATTCTTCTCGGTCTCTTCTTCTCTCTTAATAAAAAAATTCTAGATCTTTACTCCAGGTTTACTCCAGGTAGAAGCACAAAGGAGGATGTTATGTTTCTTCTTCATCCTTGACATGGTGTAAAGAAGAAATTAAACAAATCCCAGATTTCTGAAAAATTATAAAAACCAGATCAGAATCAGAAACTACCATTATACATAGAAAACATTTTTCTAATTGGTTTTTATGGATCTAAGTTTTGATTTACGAAAAAATCATTTTTGGCTCTAATGTCAAAAACTTTGTCGATCTAATTCAACAAACCCAAATTCTTCTGATTCAAATGATTTTTTATCTCTAGATTTTTTTTTAGTTTGATTTAACAAATAAATAGCCTAAAATATTGCATCTATACTATTAATTGGGAAGGACAACTTGAAGCCAAACACCCCCTAATTGAAAAAAAAATTTCATGAAATATATTCCAGTTGCCAAACAGAATTATTGACAGCAAAAAACAAACAAAAAAACAAAAACAATCTATATTTATGGAAATCATAATAATCTTTTACCATAAAAAGTGGACAATTAAATTCAAAATTAAATATATGTAAACATGTCTATTTTGAATATACATAAACATATTTAATATTAATTTAATATTTTAATATAATTTCGAAATTAATAGTATAGATTTAGAATGAAATCTAATAAAACAAAATCATCATATATCTAAAAACAAAAATAACATTTTTTTAGATTAATAAAAAGATAAAAAATATGTTAGCATATGAAATAATCAACTAATCAAATTCTACATAGTATATATACATAACTGATCATATCATCAAATTTTAAAAAATTATATAATTTTTAAATATAAATAAAAATTAAACAAATCAATAATTAAATATTTGTTTGCTAAAATCATACGAATAAACATTTTAGATCACATAAATTTCTTATTTTCACATAAAAAATATTCATATTCAAAAAGCAATCTAGCAATTATAGCACAAAAGATATCT